GGGGAAGGAGGACAGGTAGCCGCTTCTAGAATAACCACGAGAACCTGTGGGGTTACAAACGCAGAGGAGAGATAGACCTTTAGAAAAAAATGGTTTATTAAGGAGGGGAAACAGAAGAGAACGAATGCGACGAGGTGCGTACGAGGGCACCACAGGCAAGAGGCCAAAGCGGCGAGTCAGAAAGAGGCGTAGACGCCACGCTGCGCTCCTTTGCTTTTTCACAGGCGAACCCTCTCCCTCCTACACAGACTCACAGTCACACACACGCACACGGAGGATGCACCGAAGATTTAGTCTTCACCACCCCACCTTCTTAATAGTTAAAAGAATGTTGATCGATGGGAGATGAGGAAACACACACGCACGCACGAACTAGGGAGAGAGAGTCCGCACACTAGAAGCGTGTAGCTTTACGGAGTCGTAGAGCGAAAAGGGAAAGAAGAGGAGTGAAAAACCAAGAACAAATAATAATAATGATGCAGCAGCTTTTGTTCCTGTGGCGTAAAGAAGTGGCATAGTAAACGCACACATGTAGGCCGAGGTGGATAGTGAGATCGCCAGCAATCGATCACACCGAAACGGCCAGAACAAGGAGTCTCCCATTACGCGGACATCCCGCTGCCCTTTGCCACGCATATATACATCATCAAGCGTGGTAGACAAGACAGGTGCAGACGCTCTCGCGGTCTCTCGCAGTTTCCCTCTTGAGGGTGCTTCTTCTCGTTCGACTTGTACGCACGAAGGAATCGTCACCGTAGCCAACGTGAAGGTAGAGAGAGAGAGATACAGATACAACAACAACGATGTGGCCGCCATCCATTAGCAATGGCAAAAACCGATGCCTCAGCTTTTCTCTCCCGAGCCTACGAAAACTCCTCGGTGCAGAGGTGCCAACGACCAAGCAGGCAGATGCACACGATAAGACCATAGAGCGCCAACAGCATTCCCCCTTCCAACCACCGCACCCGGCTCGCCACCATCACCTGCGCCACCACCAGCGCCGCGATGAAGCAGCAGCACACCAGAAAAGGGTGGAAGTACAGCTCGAGCGGCACCTGCAGTACCGCCCACCCGACCAGCACGACGACCGGCAGCACAAACATGTAGAGGTGCACAATGGAGGAGAACGCGATGCTGGCGGCGATGTCCGGCCGCCCCACCTGCGCCATCAACACAGAAGCCGCCGCGCCGTTGGCTTCAAACAAGAGCGGGAGGAGGACCACCAACGTGAAGGGCAGCGGCAGGGTGGTGACCTCCTTGGTGGCCGCCATCAACGTCGCCACCAGGACGTAGCACAGACCAACTAACACAAGGAGGCACAGCGCTGCCCCGGTGACAGCAAAGCGGCGAGAGTAGCGACTACCCAAGTCCACCTCTTGCGTGCTGTGCAGCCGCTCGCGGTACTGCAGCGCGTACGTGAGGCTTGACGGGGCATTGGGGTTGTCCGAGGCGACGTAGTAGTTACTGTTCGACCGCACCACCTTCCAGAGGTACAACGCGTACACCACGAGCACGCAGACGGCTAAGCTGCGGGAGATGAAGAGCATGTTGCGCGTCTGCTGCTCCGCGACCTGCTTTGACGGGGTGTGCAGGCGGTTGACCTGATCGATGGCATCCGGCGCCGCAACGGTGAAGCCGTACACTGTCGGGAGAACGAAAACTGTTGTGGCGAAGACGAGCCCGCTCGCGCTGAAGGCGGTCCAGGAGGAGATGCCCAGATCAACGGAGGTGCCATCGGTCAGGGGCGCTGTTAGGATCGACACGCCGAGGACGCCCAGCATGTTCAGCAAAATCGACCCCTGCAGCAGCGGCTTCACCCAGCACAGCGACTGCTTCGAGTACGACATCGCAAAGAAGGAAAAGAGCAGCTCGGCCGCGTGCTCGAAGATCAAGTTAACCGCGATGCCGAGGGACAGGCTGTCGTGCCGCACCACCAGGTCTTCCAGGTACTCGATGAGGAGAGTGTTGATGGGGATCACCAGCACGAGGGCCATCCAGAAGAGCGCACCACCGACGGTGCCTTCGACAGGGAGAAAGCCGTGTGCCTTCGGCTTTCTTGTCCCGTTGACGCCCTCCCCGTTCGCCGCCGCCGCTGCTGCTGCTGCGGGAGAAGACGAGCTGTTGCCGCGCGGTGCGAAGAGCACGGTGAGAAGAAAGGGAATTAACAGCACCAGCAAGCTCTTGATGCGAGTACCGTAGTGAAAGGACTGAACAGCCTGCTGCGCGGTGCTGAGGCGCACTTCGTGGAGGTCGTCTTCAGGAAAGTCATTCGTGCCAGGGTTGTTCAGCATTACCGGTGGACGCTCTGTGGCGCCGTAATCAGCGGGGAACCCGCTACCGCCCTGGTTTATTTGCGTCAGCATGCTTTTTTCTCCTTTTAGGTTCGAATTATTCCAACGCCAAGCCAGCAGCAACGGACAACCTTAAAAGAAAAGAAAAAGGAGTAGAACAACGAACGAGCAAACAGCAACGCTATAGCGACCGAGAGGCGCAGCGAGGAGTGACACAGCGGATTCAAAGACCCCAGGTTTAACGCGATGTGTGATAGGTATCAGTCAATTGAAAAAAAGCAAGGAGAACCGAGCTCCTTCTACGTGAACGTCGTCGTCAAATAGTAACGGCAAACGGCGCAGCGATCGAGGACAACACACGACGAGGATATGTGAAAAGCGGATGTACGCGGAGCTTCCCACGGAGGGAGGGAAGAAAGAAGCAAACGACGGAATGTGTACGCGGGAAAGATCGGCTTCCGGCACAGATGCGTGCGAGGAGAAGCGACGGTGAGCGACTTCCCTGCGTGATCCCTTCTCCCCCTCGATGCAGAAAAAGGAGCAGGAACTCAGCGGTCTCCTTCTCGCGCTTCGCAGTATCTCGTAGTGTGTGTGTGTGGGTGGGAGTGCGCCAGGGGCGAGTGGGCTTCGCAGCACCATAAAGGAAAAAAAAAGGGACGAGGAGTGAAGTAGAGGTTGCTGCAGAAGGAGCGCCAGACGAACGCCTTTCCGCGAGCGCAGCGGCGTGTGGATACCACCAAGCTCTACGGTACTGCAGTACACTATTGGATCTTCGTCTGTGAGTTCAATAGCTATTTCATACGGAAAGAAGCAGCAAAAAGAAAAAAAAAGATGACAGCGAAAAAGCGTTGTCGTCGAGTCACCGCACGTGGACGCGTGAGCGGCGGTGCAGCGGGCGTGAATTCTTCCTGGCTCGTTCTTGCTTCTCGGTCGGTTAAGGCACCATTCGTCGCGGAGGTGAAGGCGCTTCCCGTACTGCTACTACTATTATCAACCATACCTTTTCTTTAACGGTCTCCACTTATCCCTTCAAGTAGACGCCACTGCAAGTCCTACGAAAGGCAGCATCGACAGAGAGTCATTTTAAAAAAACCACAGCAAATACGATGAAGAGGGGTATGGACATATATACGTATTCAGAACGATCTCACTCAGCAACACCTAATAAAGTTACAACTATCTCAGCAACGTGCAACCTCCACTCCTCCACTCCCCCTCCTCCTTTCCTATCTACTCTGCGCAACCGTTTTACTGCCCCATTGAAGTCGTCTTTCGCCCCTCGCACCGAGTGGGACGCGACGGAGAGTTAATAGTAATAACAGAAGAAGAGAGACCCCTGGCGCGAGTGAGGGAGGAGCAACGTGGCGATGCCAAACAGACGTTCTCGCACACACGGGAAAGCATGGAAACGACTCACACACACACACACAGAGAAATACCTTGAATAAGACGACCGATCACGGCCGGGTCGTAATACGCTGACGGCAAACAGGGCGCGGTAGCGAAAGAAATCAGCAAGGAATCCGATATGTGCTGTGCGAACAATGTGAAGGAGAAGGCAACGGACAGACGGGGAAGAACGCCCAGAGAAAAACAAAATAAATAAGAACGCGAGGAGTAAAATGGAGAAGCGACTTGCGAGCCGCGTGTCGGCTGCTTCTCCTCACGCACACAGAAAGACATGAGAGGGGAGACAGACAAATAGTTGCGATAACGCACAGCAGGAAAAGGAAGTAACGACGAGCGCGCATCGCGGAGACGATGCCGAACTGATTGCGGGTGCCTCTCTCTCTTCCGTGCCTTTATTGCCTTCTCAGGGAAAACAAAGCAACGCCGTTTAACGCATGGAGAACAACGAAGCAGTGTCCTTAATGCCCTTCTTGCCGGTCTTCGGCTTGCCTTTCTCGGGAGAACTATCACCCTTTCCCTCTGTACCCGACCGAGATGACGTGGACGACGCCGTCGCCGCCACCTCCGCCTGTCGCGTGCGAATGGCCACCGCAATCTGCGCTTTGGCACCTACAGAAGGCGCGTAGACAACGCTCCCTTTCTTCTGCTCCACTGTCAGAGGGGCCTTGCCATCCGTCAGCGTTGTGAACGGGGAGGGCAACATGCACCGCTGCGACAGCTGAATCATCTCGAGCGCCTCACTCGCGGTCACGACGTGGTAGCCGTTGCTTAAGAACGCGATGCGGGCGGCCGCAGCAGCGGTGTGCAGAAGCAATGTATTGCCGTTGCGCTTGACTGGGGTGCGCGTCGGAGACGTGGCGGAGGCTCTGCCGACCGAACCAGCAGACGCGCTGTCACGCATCGGTGAGGGGCTTACGCCCGCGCCCTCCTGCGACGTGAGGTTCTTCACAGAAAGCACGCCCGGGCTCTGCGAATGCGGCTCGTTCTGTCGCAGCTCCCCTGCGGCCGGTGCTTGCGTTTCCTCTCCTGCTCTCTCATCGGAACCGGCGGTGCGTGTTTCACTGGATGCGTCTTGCTGTGGCTCTGCGAAGCCGCCCCCCGCGGCGGCAGCGACGCTCACGGGCGGGGGCAACGGCTGTGCGTCCGCGATGCGCGTGATGAGGGTGGCAGCGGTGAACTCGAGCGCTAAGTTTCCGACACGCCCCGTCACCCCCACGTTGAGCTGCGGCGGGGTGAGGTCCTCCCTCTCGCGCGCCCCGCCTTCTCCCTGCGAAGCGTTGTTGCCCATCTGTTGCTCTGCCTGTTGCTGCTGCTGGGCGGGCGTCGGGGGCATGAGGAGACCATACAGCACGCGCTTCGTATGGCGTGGAATGCACGGGAGGTTGGTCCCATCCGCGTTCGCGGCCAGCCGCACCAACCCCACCGGCGACGGCGACGCGAGCTTCCACGTTGTTCGCACTTCAACCAAACAGGGCACCGCCGCCGCCACTAGCACTTCGTGCAGTGCCAAGACGAGGTCGCACTTCTCGGCAGCGGCTGTACTGTTAGACGGCACTGTCGTGGTCGCCGGGCAGCGGAAGCGCCCACCAGCTGTGACGGCTAACGTCTCGAGCGTCGCCTGGTCAGCCGTCGGCCCGAGCGCCACGCAGTGGACACGCGTGTTGGTAGCGAAGGTGGCCGCGTCGCTGATCATCGTCGCGCTCTCCGACGCCTTCGCCAGCCCCCCTGCGTCGGAGAGCAAGATAACGTTTCGCACGTACCCCGTCGGCACGGCCGTCGCGACGTTGTAGCCGGCGAGTACGTCGTGCAGCACGGCCGGCAGCTGCGGGGAGTACACCGTCGCCGGCACCAGACTCCCCTTCTTCACCTTGGTCGTGTTCTGCGCGATCTCCTCCTTCATGTAGGCCAGCACGGAGGCTTGCGGGATCGAGGCAAGGGGCACGCTGCCCGCGGAGAAGAGCGCCACACAGCCGTTGCGGCGCGTGTCATTGCAAATCAGCACATTCGCGTGCACCGAGGCCGGCATGGGGGAGAGAGTGGGCGAGATGACCGCGGCCACGGCCGCGGCCACGTCCTGCGCCATCGCCGGCGTGTGCACGTCAATCAGAAAGACGAGCTCCGCGTTCACCGGACAGTTCGCGAAGGTCGGCGCCATCGTGAGCGCCACGGCGGCCGCGCCGCAGTCCGTCGCCGTCGGCGGCACCGTCACGCTGTGCAGCCGCAGCGGCTCCACCGTCTCCCCCACCGGTGCCCGCACCGTGAGGGCCTGCTGCGTGTACGCCTTGGTCGGGAGGGCACCTTGGTAGGTCAGACAGAACCCCGAGTCGCCGACGTAGGCCACCTTCAGCTCCGCCGGGTCTTCCGTTTCGATGACGTAGCCGCCCTTGTCGAGCGTGACGGTGCCACGCAGGGGGCGGTAGAGCTGGCCCTCGACTGTGACGTGCATGCGCCCGGCCTTTCCATCACGACGGAGGCAGCTGCGGTCGTCGGTGGCGATGGCCGTGGTGGTCGCGGTCTTGACGTAGCTGCGCTGCGCCTCGGGTGGGCGCACCACGGCGGGGAAGAGAGAGGTGGGCATCGTGAAGGCGATCTCGCTTTGCCGCTGAATCTGCGCGAGCGGGGCGTGGTAGACGGAGGTCATGCGGACCGCGTCGCCGGGGCTGAGGTCCCACGGCACCGTCTGCGTCGCCACCGCGGCGGTCATGGTGTCGTACAACGACTTGGCTGGCAGCTTGCTGCCCGTCTCCGCTGCCCGCACGGCGCGCGACTGCTGATAGGCGTCCGTCGCAACAGCACGGTTGGGGCCGGTCAGCGTGGTGGACTGCAGTTGGAAGCCCGGGGGCACCGGGTAGGCCGCGATCGCCTGCACGAGTTGATTGGTCTCATTCACGTACTCGAGTGAGAGGGTGACCTGCGCCGCGTAGCCGGAGAAGAGAACGTGGACGTCGGCGGTGTGGAGGGAGATGGGCTGGTAGGTTTTGGCGAGCAGAATGCCGCGCGCTTCACTCGGGAAGTTGGCGAAGGCAGCGGCGCTGTCCGACATGGCGAGCACAAGCACACACACACACGTTGAATCGTGGTACAGTATGAAAGAGAAGAACGAAGAGCTCGCCCTTCATGCGTGCGTGCGCGCGTGTATTGGCGTATGTGGAGCGAGAACAAAAAAAACCGGAGGAGTCTACGCTGGAAAGACACGCTCACACGGATGGTGCGGCCGGTGCCTTCGCTTGCTTACGTCGATAGGGAGTAAAGAGAGGAAAGAGAAAAACAAAGCTGCAAGAACAAGGTCAGCACGACCAGCAAAGAAACCGTGGAAGTGGATAAAAAGGAAGCCGTACCGCTAAAAAAAAAAGGAGGAGAGACGATGAAGCGTGCTGCGGTGCTGAAGGAGAAGAAATGCGTCTTGCTTGAAAGATAATAATAATAATAAGGAAGAACAAAACCAGCGTAGAGGTAAAATAATCTACAACGCGCGTGTGTTTGTGTGCTCAGCACACTCAGAGATGCTGGCAAAGATCTACTCCGAAACGGTGGGGTCGAGGGAGGGAGCGCGAGAGCCAGCAACAACGACGCAGAAAAGGAGAAGGATAAAGAAGAAAGAACGGTCGATGACGGTCGGAAATACACGCAAAAGAATGTGGGAGATCCTGTAAAACACAGGAGATAGGTGATGCTGTACGTGATGGATCGAGATGTGTAAACCAGCTCTCGTGTGCTCAGCGGATGGTGCGGAGTCGTCACGGCGAGTGAGCTGTCCAAGAGAAAGAATGGCTCTTGTGAAAAGAAGAGAAACAGAGAAAGAAAAGTAGCGCAAAGGCGGAGAACGGAGGGGGTGCATTTCATGAACCGTAAGAATACAACAGCAGCAGGACATACGTGTCAGACAGCGTCGATGGCAGCTCTTCTTTCGGCAAACTCGAAGCCAACAACAATACCGTGACTCAACAAGAAGAGAGATTTCTTAGCAGGTGAACTTGATGCACTTGACTTGCCTTCGAGCTCTCCGCATCCGCAACAGCTTTGTTGAACCGATGGAGAGAAGAGCGGCGCTTGCTGGCTCCTGCAGTACGCACTGCTTCCGTACGACACGCATCGGCAGAAAAAGAATACCTCCTTTGCCCTTTGTGAATTGGGAGAGGGACAGATGCGAAGGACGGCACGGCACGACCGCATCCAGAGTTCTGCTCCCTCCTTCCCTCCTGTTGAACCGTACTTCGTCTTGTGTTCTTCTATCGTCTGTCACCGCTGGAAGAGAGAGAGAGAGAGCGACAGCTTTAGTTACCACAACCCCACACGTCGCGCATCATGCCATGCCCTTCGCCATTACAAACAACTGGCGAGAACGCTTAGAAACAAAGAAGACAAAGAACACTACAAGTAGATGAAGAAATAATGTTCAGAAACACACCAGCGGCAAAAACAAAAACAAACAAACATTCACAAGAAGGAATCATCACCCTTCTCTCCCCCCTCCCCCTCGAAGCGTTGCTGCTAACGTTGAAGGAGAGAAACACAGCAAAAGAAACAGGGGTGGCAGAAGAAGAAAGGAGAAGAACACACTCCGACTCATGCGCTGCCGTCGCGCACCTGGCCGAACCAGGATTATTCATTGAAATGAATAGCCCAAAGAACCCTAGTTCAAAAAGCGCGGACGGACATACGCTCTCTTTCGCCTTCTATACCTTTTTGTTTGTTGTGATCGCGGATCTCTCTTCCTCATATTTGGGCCCGGCAGCTTCGGCGTTACTTGTGAGACCGCATGCGGCGCTGACGGGTCTCCTCGTTCTTCTGCGCAATCAGCCACAGCAGCGCTGCCGTCAGTGTGGGCGAGAGGATGTAGCTCGCACGCGGGTCGCTGTGGCGAAATATGTACGCCATCAGACAGGTGCTCACCACGAAGAAGACGCTGTTCAAGAAGAAGAGCGTATAGCCGACGGCGACCTGCAGGCGCAGACGACGCAGCGGCTTCGCCTTGTCGTCGGCCACTTCGGCGAAGTGGCGCTGGCGGCCCCAGAACTCACTCTGCACCATGACGGCGTACGCCTGGCGCAGCATATACGTTGTAAAGGCGGTGATGATCACGTACAAGACCAGGTTCGGCAGACGGTGCCAGTCGAGACCGTTGATGGCGTGCGAGAAGTACACCGGCTGGAAGGAGGCGATGAGAGCCACCAGGACGAGGGACTGCTCCGGGTATTCGAGGCGGTTCGCGTTGATGCGGGCATCGAGGAGAGCTTCGTCGTTCTGCCGCTTGGGAGCCATTCTGATGAGCGCTCGCGCGTGTGCGTGTGTGTATCGATGTTACGTAAAGAAGAAAAGGAGAAAGGACAAGAGTCGCCGTGGGACTTTGGATGGCGGCGCCACGTGAGCAGCATTACGTGCGTGTGTACGTAGAACAGGGGAGGGAGAGGGAGACAGAGAGAGGATTGAAGAGACTTAAATCAAATACCATATCTCATATACACATTTAATAGGAACGGCAGTACACAGAAGCGCAGCCTCTTCAGAAAAATAGTAATAACGAGGAAACGACACACACCAGCGACGCAAGCTGCATGAAACGCCGAAACCGCTCGGCAGCTTCTTCGAGACATCTGCGATATATATATATATATATGTGTGTGTAGGATGAAGAGCCAGCACAACTTTCTCTTCTTCTCATCCCCTCCCACTCAACACTCCTTTGGTTGGGTGTGACGCGCGGCGGATTATCCTTTTCCCCTTTTGAGCTCGACTCGTTCGATAAGACACCAACGCTTCCACGGAAATGAGCGGCTCACCACGCCACGCTCGTCAACAGCGAGTAGAGGATTGCGTAAGATAACGATAGACAAAATCAAGAAGAGTTGTTTATGAAAAGGCAGCGAAGGAATAATAAAGAACACAGCGAGTGACGACGTCTCTTTAAGGGCACAACCACACAGTTACCCCACACAGCCCAGCTGCCCTCTACTGCAGCTTCTCGATGGCAGCACTGTACTGCTTCGCATCCTCAGCGAGCTCGTTCGGCGCCACCTTGATCGTGTCCCAGCCAATCTGCAGACCGGTGCTCGTGTCCCGCTTCGGGATGACGTGGAAGTGTACGTGCGGAACCTCCTGATGCGCCATGCGCCCGTTGTTCTGTAGAACATTGTACTGCGTCGACCCATCAGGGCCGGCCACCGCACGACAGACCTTCGCCACCAACAAACCAACATCTGCGGCGCTCTCCAGATCTAGCGCGTGCAGGCAGGCGGCGTGCGTCTTCGGGATGACGAGGACGTGTCCGCGGGCGAGGGGGCCGATGTCCATAAAAGCGAAGGCCTTGGACGACTCCGCCACCTTCGCAGACGGTATCTCGCCCCGCACGATCTTGCAGAAGATGCAGTTGGCGGCCATGTCAGCAGTGCGTCCCGGCGCGGGAGAGGGGAGGGGGAGGGAGAGGAGGAGGGGTGAAGCACGGAAGGAGTTTGGGCTTTCACAGGTCGATAAGGGGCCAGGCGTTCGCGCAGAAGGGGACGGAGTAGACGCAAAGGTAAACCAGAAAAGAGAAAAACAAAAGAGGTGTGGTGGAGAAGTGGGGGAGGGTGGGAGCAGACGCACAGCAGCCTTCACCGCATCGATGGGTTATCACGCCCATTTCCGCGACGAAAGGATGGGGGAGAGAGAGATAAAACAACAGACGTAATGGAGGAGGCCGAAAGGGAAAACAGACAAATAAACGGAGTACGAAGAAACTGATTTTGGCCTTTCACGCGACGATGCACACCGAATATCCACGTGACGGCTCTCATCGAATAATTCACGAGACACGCGCAGGACGATGCACATGAAGACAACAGCAACACAGCAAAGCCCTTCCTTTTCCCTTTGTTTTCTTCCACACGTGCGCACGTCCCATTCTTTCCACAGCAGGAGGTACACGAATACCAACCATCGCCATCCTCACAAAAGTACAATAATAGTCAAGACAAAAACAACATCATGTACCATGTGTGCCGCATCACACTACGTTGGAGCGACGGAAGCGGTTGGCGCGCCTCTCATGCGGCTCTGCGACACTGTCTGCCTCTGCGCTGGCGCTCGCAGCAGCACCACGACGGGGCCGTCGCGCCGAACGCAATCGCAATGGCGCCTCTGCGTCGTCGGCGTCGTTGCCGCCGCGGTTGGCGGTGGGCGGTGTGACGCGTGCCTTCGCTGTTGTCGCAGCAGCACCAGCGGCAGCGAGGAGCGGAGAAGGAGAGGTTTCTGACGTCGGTGCCGCCGCGTCTGTTGCCGCACCCTCGTCCAACGCGACCGCGGCCTTCCGCACCTTTCGCACCTTCCGTCCCTTCGTCCTGTGCTGCTGATCCTGCGCGAGTTGGAAGACGTTGCTGGCCGCCGCGATGGCGCTGGAGGTTTCCTTGTTCTCCTGGGCCGTGCGCGGGGTCAGCACGGCACCACCGGCATCCTCGCCTGCGACGTCCGTGTCCGTGGACACCAGCGGCTTCAATTCATCTGGCCGTCGGCGCACAACACGACGCCGTCCAGCCGTGCCCTCCGCTTCTTCGGCGGTATCGACTCCTGCTGCTGCCGTTGCCTTCTTACGCCTGCCGCTCGCGGCCGAGCTCGCTCGCTTCTCCGCGTCTTTCCTCTCCTGCTCTTTTTGGGCTGCCTTGGCGCGGCGCATCTCGTAGCCCTCGTTGCGGTGCTCCAGCCGCTGCACGATGCTCTCCGTCACGGAGCTGCGCATCTGCAGCAGACCCGCGCTGGACAAGGAGGACTCCTCCAGCTCCACATTGATGGCCTCCAGCGTGTAGCCGAGCGTGTGGACGGCGGCCTGCACCATGCTGTCCCGCCGCTCCTGCCGCTTGTCGCGTGCTAAGAAGCTGACGGCGAGCGCCGCCTCGGATGCGCCTTCGCGGCCGTAGGTAGCTGTGATAGTCTCGCAAACGGAGTTCGCGTAGACGCCTAAGGCCGGTGCGAAGGTCGACAGGCTTTCCCTCGCCAACACGAGCTCAGTGGACAGTTCGCTGGAGGCTGGGTTGGCCGCCGCGTGGTCCATGACAGAGTCCACTACCTTCAAGATGGTCAGCGCTTCCGCTTCCAGCAGCGTCAGCCCCAACACCAGGAAGTTGGTGCTGCACTCCACGGAGAGCTCAAACACGTTGATGTCACTCGTGAACGACGTGAGGAACACACGCGCGAGGTGCGCGATGAGGCGCTGCGTGGCGGCACTGCCGAGAATCGGCTGTCGAATCGCGTTGAGGGTCTCGTGCGCGCGGGCGATGCAGGCGATTGCATCCGCGATGTACGGCCGCACCGCCGCCGTCGTGTGCGGCGACACGCGCTGCCAGTCGAAGAGGGGCTGCACAAACCCTTGCCGACGCACCAGGTCCGTGATGGGCTGCTGCGCCAGCGCCAAGTACGTGTTCATCATGGCATCAACGGCGAGCTGGCAGTGCTCCTCCACGACGGAGAGATAGGTCTGAACGTACTGCTGTTGCTTGTTCTGGAGGTAGGCGGCGACTTCTGCCGGATTAGACGCCACCTCCGGCAGCTGCCGCGCGAGGAGTTCAAAGAAGCAGGGTGACAGGAGGTGCTCCATCAGAATAGGTGTGAGTGTCGTAGCGAGGCTGAGGGTGTCAGCCATGCACTCCACCACGCTGCGCTCCCGCTCCTCGGGCGCCACGCTGCCGTCCGTCGTCGCGGTACGACACTTCAGTTGTAGCATGTCCACAAACGCCAGCAGCAGGTGCGAGAGCAGCGCCAGGACGACCTCCTCGTGGTCCTGCAGACTTTCCATCACCAGCTTGCTGTGGAACTGGGCGAGGAATGCGGAGACGGGGTCGGTGGCGGTGTCGGGGCCGCCCACGGACGGCGCAGGGGACACGTTTATAGCGGCGGCACTGCTGGGGCGACGGGAGCCGTCAGCTGCGGTGGAGGACGGAGACGCCGTCCCGGTGGCACCGCCGCGACGCGATCGCATCACTCGCAGTCGCCGCCCTGCAACTCCACCCCGTCCACTCCCGCCGACGCCCCCGCGACCACCGCGGGAGGCGTGATCGTCGTCGTCGTCCTCCGCGAGGAGGTTCTCCGCCTTCACGGAGAAGAGATCGACGCTGTCGAACACCTCCGCGTCGCGCGTGAAGAAAGGCACGCACCGGTCCACCACCACCGCCAGCACGTTCAGTAGCTTGTGGACGACGCTGGAGGAGACGGAGTCGCGGCTCACGCGGGAGCGCACCCGCGTGTCGAGCGAGGTGTCGGTGCGCCGCTGCAGCAGTGGCAGCATCGTCAGGTACGCCTTGCTCAGCACCCCGACCCCGTGCAGGTAAGTGCGAAGACAGGTCGAGCGGAGCACCTCCAGCTCCTGCAGAAGGTTGCCGACCTCCTCGACCTGGCTGTCAGAGTTGATGGTGGCGGAGCTGCTCGACTCGGCCATCACAATCTTCAGCCGCAACACGGAGTCGCTGACGAGGCTCATCATACGCTCCCACTGCCCCAGCAGCACCTCATACAGCACCGCGGCGTGCAGCTCCATCCGTTCGTTGCGACTGTAGCGTGCGGCGTCACTCACGCGGTAGCGCGCCATCGTGCCGACAAAACCGTCTACCACGCCCTTGTTGATGAAGGTGATAAAAAGCGACAGGAGGGTGTTGGCGGCGGCGCTGATCATTTGGTGAACTGCCTGGATGGAGATGTCGCGCAGGGAGGCGGGGCGCGGTGGGACCGACGGGTGTGGCTTGGCCGGCGCCTTCTGCAAGGCCTGTTGCAGGGTGGGTATGAAGCGGAGGTGCGGCAGCGGATCGGAGGAGCTCGACCCCATGCCGGCGATCCGCGTGTCTGCACTGCGGCTGCCGTCGACGTTGCCGGCGGTGGGAGGTGCGTCTCCGCGCTCGCGTTGGTGCGAGTCGGACCGGTCCAGTGCACTCGGGATGCGGGAGTGCATGGTGCTCACGCCGCCACCGTCATGGCTGCCCAGCGTCGTGGAGGGAGACCGCTGCAACCCGTTGACATCGATCGCCGTCGCGGCGCCAGCCGCCTCTCCTTCTCCGTCGTCGTCGTCCTCGAGCAGTTCCGCTAGCATGTCCTTCAACGTTCCATCCGGCACAAAGTCGAACACACCGGCGTGCAGCGTAGTGGCGATGCCGCCCCAGTACGACCCGACGACGTGCTCCAGCGTGCCGACGCACTCGGCGCACAGACGCAGTGCAAAGGTGTTCAGCGACGTCGCCTGCGCCATCACGGCCGACTCAACGTCCGCGTGTGTGAAGAGCTGACTCAGCAGCGAGGCGGCGTGCATGCGGACCTGCAGGCAGCTGGAAAGCAGCACCGCGTCCATGTCAGAGGTGCCTACCTTAAACTCCGTCGTTGTAGAGAAGGGAGACTCCGGCGTGTTGAAGGCGTCTAGCACGCGTGCGACAAACATCTCCGGCACGAGGCTGGCGTGCTGCGGCTGTGCGCCTGCGTTGCTGCTGCTTCTGCCGGTCCCACCGTTGCTGGCGCCGAGGCTCTGCAGGGCGGCGTCGCTGCCTCCGGCACGGGAGGATTGCCCGTTACCGCCTCGCCTGTTCACCCACCCAAACGATGTGTCCTGCGAGAAGGAGTCCTTCGAGTTGCCAATGAAGCCGCCGTCCGCGGCCACACTCGCGCCCATGAAGGAGTTCGCAAAGTTGTGCCCAAGGGTCCCCATCGTGCCCAGCGGCGAGGCGGCGTCCTCAGCGGTGTCGACGCCGTTCGCCGCAGCGGCGCGCACTTTTCGCTGCTGCTCGCGCTGGCGGTGGCGCTCCTCCAGTCCGCGTGCGGCGTCCGTCTGCGCCTTCCACATCCACGCATTCGCCTCTTGCAGGAGGGCCGTCGCGCTGGAGTGGAAGAGGTGCCGGTGCTGCCTCTGCACTATGGAGATGAAATACTGAGCGGGGTGCAGGTAGGCTGCAGTGCGGCGACGTGCGCGAGTAACCCCAGCAGTGGCGCTCGACGTGTTGCCGGACGCCGGTGAGAAGGAGTCGAAGGCAGAGGAGGAGGCGGAGGCGAAGACGCCGGAGATGTTATTCGGAGACGCTGCCCCGAAAGGGTTGCTGTTGACGGGCTCCCGCAGCGGTGATGCTCCAGAAGCCGCGTTTGTAGCCGTCGTGGCTGCTGCTGCTGCTGCTGCACTGAGTTGGGTGCGCAGTTTCGTCAAGGAGTTCCGCTGTTGTTGACCAGGTTCCATCGATTGCTGCAGCACTCCACAAAGGTGGCGCAGCTTGACGGTGGCGATGCTCGCGTCCATCATCATCGACAGCGTGTCCTCAATCAGCACGGTGTCCGCCGGGTTCGCGTAGACGAGCTCTTCCGCGAGTTGTCGGCAGAGATACAGCGCGGAGCGGAGCAGCGCCAGCGCAAATTTGAAAGCAAACGTACTGCGGCGCGCGGTGCTGAAGGTGGACGCAGCGGCGGTGGTTGTTGCCGTCGCCGCTGTCTGTGGTGGAGCGGGGGAAGGAGTCCCACTTGTAGGACCAGCATGACCACCTGGAGAAGGGGCACCTCGGCTCTCATTAGCAACTGCAGCAGCAGCAGGTGGAGGCGTAGGTCGTGGCACATCGCCGTCCTCGCCGGCCAGCATGGTGCCATCCATCAAGGAGTAGGTCTCCTCCACGTACAACATGGCCCGACGCAGGTTTAAAATAGCTGTCTCGTAGTTACTGACCTCCTCGACGTGGTGACGACGCGCATCGACGTCCCTCAGGCGGACAAGCGGGGTGCCGTACCAGGAGTAGATTTCTTCATCTTGTGTGAAGACGAAGATCTGAGCGAGGTTCGTCGTCCCTCCCGGGTTCTCTAGGGTGCCGTGCACGGTGGACGGCCTCCCAGGGCCCGACCGCCCCTCTGCCTCCACGTCTCTATCGCTCCGATCATCACCGGCCTCATCGTCTTCGTCTTCGTCTTCTTCCTCCTCATCATCCACGTTGCTGTCGTCGTTGTTGGGAGCGCCGCCGCGCTGCGAAGACGCTGTCTTCCTTCTCGGACCGTCTTGTGGCTCGTTGTGGCTGCGGCTGCGATCGCGTTCGCCCTCCTCTCCCTCTTCCCCTTCCTCGTCTTCCTTCGCCGCCGCCGCTCCCTCGCCGTCCGCCGCGTCGCCGTCTTCCTTCTCGATATCGCTCGTGTCGGACGTTCCCAACGCCCCGATGGTCGCGGCGCGGCGTGACGCCACCTTCACCCCACAGCAGCCATAAATCGCACCGGGGACACCCAAGACGCTGAACAGCTTATCCAGCATGTCCTGGCTCTTGCGGCTTTTCTGCACCTCCACGAAGGTGGCGGTGATCGGCTGCACGAGTGCGTCGCAGCTGCCGGTGGCGCTCTTAAACGAGTTCGTAATGCCGTCCAACGCCTCCCCGGTAAACAGTTCCTGGTCAGAGTGGTAGACGGCGTCCATCGCGTCTTTGGAGTTCACGAAGACGGCAAGGTTATCGCGGATGAGCTGCTTGAGCGCTTCACCGGTGTCCTCCTCTGCCTGGCCGACCTTGTCAACGAGTTCGCCTTCGAAGATGGCGTGCGGCACGCCGGCGAGAACGCGTTGGATGTACTTCTTGGGTTGGAAGGCGTGGCTCGTCACGTCCAGCACCGGCTCCTGCCGCTGGTTTGTCGCGTCAACGTCGAAGAGGTCCTCCATTTTTTTTTTTTGGACTGGCTTACTCCGCGTGGGAGATAGAATTGCACGAAGGAGAAATTATGAAAGAGACACCACTGGACCAATCAGGGCGTCAGCGCGTACAGCAGGAGTTTATGGACGCGTGGCACTTCCGGATTGACGGGTGCGCGGTCCGGGTGACCAGCAGGCGCCACAAATATAACACTAAAATAGCTCTGCTGAATTTCGGCCACACTTCTCTATAAGGCGGCAGCACGCACCCACCTTCTCACACACACGCTATGATCGTGGGGCCGCTCCGCTTTGCAGTGCAGCTTCCGCAGAACACCTTCACTTGGTGCGCTGTTGAAGTGGCACCGAGTGCAGAGTCCTTTTCTTGTTTTCTCCGCCTCTTCGTTTCTCGTACAAACGTGGGAATTTCCGCAGCGCTGAGGATTTGAAGAAACAAATATATGAAGAAAAGAGGAAAGAATACGAAGGGAGATGGAAGACGGTGGCTGTGCAAGTGCGGGGTAGAGGCTGCGGCTCGAGGTGTTTCTGCGGCCGCTGCATCACCGCCGTTGGGCGTCTCGCCGGACAGGAAAAAAGAAACCCTCAGTAGGAGGACGCTGAAGGAGAGAGGTGCGAGGGAGGGGGAAGGGAGCAGCGGGAGGAGAGGCGCCACCCCTGAAGCCACTCCGACATCGCTTTGCGTCTTCTCCACAACGCGCTGCATAACCGGGCCGCGTACACTTGGCGGAAGAAGAGAGTAAGCCCAACGCCAAAGCACGCCGTTTCATTTGGGAACAGTTCCTCTGGGAGCCGCAAAACAGCAGCAGCAACAACAACAACCGCAAACACACACACACACACACACACACACAAGCGACTACATCGACCACCACGTCAGAGAAGAAGAGGAAAAGTTGAGGACAATGCGGCTGGCGATGACGGTAGAGGCGCCGCGAATTGTCCATCCTAAAAAACAAAACAAAACAAAAGCAATTTTTTAATTCAAAAGCGCAGCAAAGACGACTTCACAAGCAGCTTCTATAAAAGAACGAGGAAGAGCACACACGGAGGCACAACAGCATTCTTTTCCTCCCCACCGCGGGGCCGTTCGTTTCGCTCCGTCGAGCAGCCCCTCAAAGCCCAGCCACACACACCCACGGAGAGACACCGCGGAGACTGAAGAGCACGTTCTCCGCTTTCCAAGAAACGACACTACACACGCAGATAAAGCAAACAGGCAGAGGAGGCGTCTCACACACGACGCCGGTGCAGCCTGTCGTCTGCGTCTTTATTATGACCCACTTTCCCCCCTGTTTTTCTTTTTCCTTTTCTCATTTTGTCTAAGCAGCGGACGCTCCAGCGGTGCCCTGCACGTCTACCGCCGTGAAGGAGGCGTCTTGCACCTCACGCAGCAAGTCCGAGCTTCGCGTCACCTGCTCGACGGCGGAGGCGAGCTCGTACGACGGGCGGGCGATTTGCTCTCGAATAAGATTGCGCATACGTTTGTTGTAGTTGAACTTGTAGCGATCCCGGTAGTCCACCAGCAGCGCTCGGCTCACCGCTTGGGTGTAGCGCAGTGCCTCCTCCTGCGTCCGGTCACGCGTGTTCATCAGCTGGGCGCTGGAGAGGAACTGATACTGCCCCAGGACCGTGTCCACCGCGTCCAGCACCGCATCGATCAGGTTGCTTTCGAAGCTGAGACGCATGCACACGTTCACGTACTTGCGCTCGAGAAAGTCGCGGCGCTTCATGGAGACGGCATCGATCAGGCGGGCCGCGAGGTGGTGCTGCTCGCCCAGCGACGCAAAGGCCGGCGTGGAGCGCAGGGTGAACTCGTAACTCTCGAACGACTGCGCCACCATCAGCTGGGCATCGTTCGTCTGCGTCAACGACGCCAAGTACTTCTCAAAGCAGCGCGACGACTCCTTCATGGCCTGTTGACGCCGGGTAAGCTGCTCGCACACCCGCACCCACGCACAGGCGTCGGACTTCGCTTCGGGCGGGAGGTAGGTCCAGTCGTAGGTGCCAGAGGACGACGTTGTGGGCACGGGCATGTTGCTGCTGCTGCCACCACCGCCTAGCATGCTTTCCGATGACTCGTCGCTGCTCTTCGATGAGAAGAAGAACCCGGCGATGGAGCGGACGAAGCTGCTCGATTTCGCGGCGATTTTGTTCGCCGTGTAGTCGGTGAAGCTGCGGTGCCGCCGGCTGCACTCGTGGAAGGCGCGGTTGGCCAGCCGCACATCACGCAGGGCGGCCCGCATGCGCAGCAGCGTCCCCGTTTCGAAGGTGTCTCGCGGGTCGAGGAAGAAGGGCGCGACCCACTCCGAAAAGAAAATCACCTCCGGCATGGCAGCCACCTCATACAGAAAGAACTGCAGCTTGTGCCGCTGCGCCGCGAAGGCATCCGACGCGCTGAAGTAGGTCTCGATGTCGCCCACACTTGACTTGCGCGGCAGGGGCGGGAGGATGAGGGTGGGGAACTGGTACGTGAGCAGCTCCCGCAGGTCCACCACCTCGCTGTAACGACGCTCCACCGTGGCGGAGTTGCCGCGGGACCAGTCACTCCGCTTCACACCCATGTCGATGCCCGTCAGGTGCGGCGCGTCCAGTGGGATATCCGGCACTGTAAAACTCGCGTCGTTGTCCACCAAAATCTCCGTCGTGATCGGAAAGTACGTAATCGCCCGCACCACTTCCTTGCCTTTGAAGGCCGGGTCGACACGGAAGCGGGCTAAGACGACTCGGCTGGGGTGGCCGGCCTGGACGTGGATCGTGACGGAGTCGTTGAGCGTCGTGGCGCTGGCGACGGCGGCGTGCGGGGACGACAACGGCGTGAAGACGGAATGCCCAGCCGGCAGCATCTCCACCGTTGCGGCGTCATTCGAGGCGGCGTTGCTGCCGGTGTGGATGGTGGTCATCGTTGTGTCGTAGCCGTGGATGGTGGTGCTTGTCGTCGCCGCTGTGTCCCTCGTTGGGGAGTTGGTGGTGTGTGGAGAGAGGTGCGGCGGAGGCGTCGCCGGGGCTGCAGGGGACGCCGTCCGCTGGTACTCCGCTTCGAAGGGGTTTTTATTGTCGGAGAGCATCGTGCAGCTTCCGTTTAGGGCGATTCTCGCTTTTTAAAAGAGGGGCAAAGCGAAGAAGCTAAAGCGGCAATCGCGATCGCAAAGCAAAAGGACGGACGTAAGAAGAAAAAAAGAAGAAGACAACGAAGCTCCACGAAACAAGCAAAATAACAACAATAATAATAAAGACGTAAGAGACACACTTTCCGATAAACCACCAAATACTGTTGAGGCGCTGACGCAGAACACACGCGGTAGAGGAGATCAGCGTAGATAGCTACGAGAACAAAGAGCACTATATCACAGAATAGGGAAGAAAGAAGTGTGGTGGCACTAGTTATAGTAATGCTACTAATAACGACTTGAGTTGGTGTTCGCAGCAAAGCAGGCTGTGAGCCGTGAATGACCAGCTACCCACTTTATTCATTCATATTGAGGTGCAGAAGATGACCCGAACAGAGGGGAGAGAGAGAGAGGAGTAGCGAGGAGAAACGCCGAGCCGACGGTGGACGACATTCAGTTACTGCCACAGGGGCAACAACGTGCTCGATGGAAGGTTTTCGATCCCACAAGCCGCACGCTACATATTCAGGAATAGGGCGGCTTCAAGGCTCTTTCTTTCGTTTCTTCTTCTGCTTCTCTTCTAAACTCCGCGCGTTTCATATCGCCAAGGGAGCCCGCTGCAAAAAGGCAGTGGCCTCGCGTCAACGAGCTTGAAGGTCCTTCTTTTAGCTGTTTTTATTATTATTTTCCTATAGCTTTACATTGCGTTTGACCAAGTTCACATCCTATGTCCTCGTTTGTCGCTGGCACTCGTCGCCGCGGTTGGAAAAGAACGCGGCTCCATTGAGCGACGCCACGCGCCCCTCCCCCCTTTTGGGAGGGAGAAAACGAAGGACAAGAGGGAGCGGCAAAGATCACTGACATACACGTTGAATACATCTGAGAAAGGAAGAATAGAGAACAAATCGACACGAGTGTTTACGCACCTGGCCCTCCCCCCCCCAAAAAAAAAAGAGCCTTTTCCCTTTACATCATCAACAAGAGGGGTGAGGCACACAAAATAGCATCTACATACACCTACTGCGGGTAGTGGCTCAGTTCGTGCTGGAGCGTCACCATCGACGCCTCGTGCCGATGGATGACGTCCGTCAGTTCTCTGTGCCGGTCCGTGAGCTGCACCAGGCGGGTGCGGTACTCCCGAATGACGCCTTTGCGCCGTTCGTAGTCCAACAACAGATCACGCGAGCCGACGAGCGGCATGCGCTCCTTCATTCGAGTGTTGGCGCGCAGGTGGGCATCGCGCCGGCGCTTCGACTTCGCCAGCTGATCGCGTGCCTTGTTGAGCTCCTCATCGGTGCTCGCCACACTCTGTCGCAGCTCCGCGTTCTCCTTCCGCACGCAGTCCAGCTTCTCCCGCACGTGGGTCGCGATGTGGATTGTGTTCGTCACCTTATTCCGCAGCTTCAGCACCTCCTCCGAGCGCTCCTCGATCTTCTCGTTCAGGTTTGTGTTTTCCACCTTGAGCTGCTCAAAATCGATGAGAAACATGTGATGATCAGCGCCGTTTGGCTCCCTTTCGTCCGATGCACTCGCCGCGGCAGCCGACGAGCTCAGCGGTGGTGCGGCTGCCGCGGCGGCGGACGTTGCACCACCGCTGTTTCCGCGCCCCTTGGCGGCCCGCCGCAGTCGCTGCAGGCGGTTCTTCAGCTGCAGATACCGCACCCGCGCGGCGTGGATGGCCGCCCGCTCCTTCGCCTCCCGCTCCACGTACTCGGAGATCGTCTTGTCGGGGATGGGCCGGTTCGACCGCATAAAGCGCACATTCGCCGCCAGCTCTTGGATGTACTGCTGGAAGTTGTTCTCCTGCATCGCGGCCTCTTCCATAATCGGGGCGTAGCGCTGCCGCTGCAGCTCCAAGTCTCTCTTCAAGGCCGCACTTCGACCCGCCACGCGCTGACGTTCCTCGGCGACCTGCCGCACCAGTGCCCAATACGCGCCCTCCGCCTCCGGGTTCGTTAGCTGCGTCACCTCCTCCTCGCCATTGCGCCGGCGCTGTTCGGCGTAGTGGCGGGATAAGATCTGCTGGTAGTTTAAGTTGCGGTCCAGCAGTGCCTCGCGCTCCGCCAGCAAGTCGCCGTACTCGGTAATGCAGACCTCACGCTGTTCTTCGGCGGAGTGGAGGGTGTCCGCGGTGTCGTCCCCGCCTCCGCCGGCGTTGCGCGAGGAGACGCTATCGATATCCCCCGAGGTAGTCCCATGGAGGCCGTAGCCCTCAAAGTGAACGAAAGGTGCCGCGTGCGGCGAGCCGAACGGGCTGCGCTGGGCAGCCGCCTCCCGCTCACGGAGGCACTGCTGCTGCCGATGCTGCTTCCATCGCTGCTGGATAGCGACGGCGGCGGCATCTTGCCGCGCCTCTTCCTGCTTTCGCTCCTCTGGATCGCTGTACATGGTGCTGCGGCGGGCTGTGAACGAGAAAGGTACCCCCAGAAGGCAAAGATAGCAAAGCACAGCGCTGTCGAGGGGACGGTGCTGCCCCATAGCAGGTGCAGGGGAGGCAAGAGGGGGTAGAGGAATAGGGGGAGAGAACACATGGGAGTCGAAGAGAGGTGGGACAACAGACAACAACGATGGATGCCAACCTCCGCGCCATCATCGTAGAACCATTCAGCGAGACGGCGTCGACAGCTGCGTCCATATGCAGTCAGGAAAGGTGCATCATCCTCGAGCAATCTACGTGAAGTACCAGCAAGAGTCGAATCTGTTGCACGGAGTTATCAGAACAGATCCAGTAGCAAAGGAAGGCGCCAGTGGCTCTTGTCACCTCGTGGCGGAGACGAATAGAAACCGTCCTCCCCTCTACTTTGTACTCACCACCTTTTCATACTTTAATATTTTCACAAATCACGTTAACAAAGAAGAGAAGAAAAATGAACGGCAACAGCGTGTGAACGCGTGCACATGTGTGTGTGTGTACGCGTGTGTACGTGCAGTGAGGAAAACCGCACCGACAAGCATTTCGAGACGCACGCACGCGACACGGAACCGACAAAGCCAGGCCGACAAACGCAAGCACACACACACACACACACCCACACACGCACCAAACACAAAGGAGATGAAAATGCTGCTGTGGAGTCAATGCGTCAATGGTAAGGAGAAAAGTAATAAAAAGAAGATAGCAAAAGAAAACTGCCACCATGACTGGGAATCATCCGGTTGAAAAGCTGACGAAAAGAGAGCACAGCTCTGCCTTTACGAGATTGTATGCGAAGAGTGAAAAGCGATGTGATGGCGGCCGTTTGAAGAGAAGAAAAATAAGAGGAATGACCCGTCAATGAAGCTCACAGCAGCCGTAAACTCTGCTGTTTGCCAAACGATAATAAAAGAAGAAGGGAGTAAAAAAAAATAAGGAGACCTTGGCAGTTAAATTCCTCCTGTTATTACGCTGCGACTCCACGGTGCGTGGGTGTCTGTGCAGCGAACATATCCCCGGCGGAGCGAGAAAGACCTTCACCGTCTTCCTTGTTGTTGCTCTCGTCCTCGTCCTCCTCCTCACCAAACACCGCAACGCGGATGGCGTGCACGGCCGACTCTAACTTCTCCACATCCCCGGCAGCGTTCAGCACCTGCACCTGCGCTCGGTCTCGCACCAGCATAATCTCCGTCTCGGTCGCCTCCTGCAGCTGCCGAATCGTCGATCCACGCGTCCCGAGCAGTCGACCCATCGCATAGTCGGGGAAGTGCGAGATAAGCCGCACGTGGGTGGCGCTGTAGTCGCGCAGGCAGGCCACGACTTTACTTGTCGCCGCGCGGGCCTCGTGCTCGCTGCAGGAGCTGACGGTCAGCCGCCGCGCTGCCCAGTCCACGTCGATGCGCACCGGAGAGGCGAAGAGAGATGGTATGTAATCGAACAGGTTCTTGCCGTCCCACTTCCTGTTACGGTTCGTCATGAAGCTGCGCAGGATGTCGAGAAACGCCACGTTGATGGAGAAGGGCTCGTTGTGTCGGAGTAGCAGCTTCAGCAGGCTGTAGGCGTTGTTCACGGCGTCCGGTGAACCGCGCAGCATCACGCTGCCCTCCGCGCGGAGCGGAACAACTTGGTCGCACTGCGTCGCGCGTCGCACCGCCTCGAGGGGTGTGATGTACGAGGAACCTCGACGCATCAGCGTCGGCGAGCGCACAGTGGGCGTCTGCCACTCCTCCACTTCGGACGGTGCGACGATCGGGGAGGTTAAGAAGTGCAGCCGCTTGAAATCCGCCGACACCGTCCGCTCCGTCCGGCGCAGCGCCACGACGCGCTCATACGCCGACTTCACCGCCTCCTCCGTGCCCGTCAGCGTGATGGCGCCGCCGCTGCACTGCACGTGCGCGTTGGTCTCCTCCTCCAGCCGGCGAATCGTTGCCCCGCGTGGTCCGATGACGGCGCCGATCCACGCGTCGTCGGCGAGGACCGTCTTCGTAGCGCCGTCGCCTTCGCTGGTGGCGCAGCGGCAGAGAGCGAAGGCGCGCTCGATCGCCTCCGGCGTGCCCGTCGCACGCACTACACCGTGCTCCCGGTCCACCCGCAGTGCGCGGACACCGCTGCTGTCGCTGATGCACGTGATGTTGCGCCCTCCGCGACCAAGCAGCGACGGCAGCGACGCCACCGGCAGCGTCATCTCGCGCAGCGTGAAGGTGTCCAGGTACGCGCAAATAGTCTCACGTGCCTCCGCGACGTCGTGGCGGCGGCCGGTGATGGTAACACCGCTTTCATCCATCTGCATGCGCACGTCGTACTCGTCCTGGAAGCGCTCCACCGTGGACCCGCGCGGGCCGATGAGTTCCTTGCGGAAGTGTGGTTGCGTGAAGAGCAGCGTAGAGGACGCGTTCTTCGCCTCCTCATCTTTCATGATGGCGGTGATCGCGGAGATGCAGGCCCGCGCCTCCGCCGCCCCGCCCAGCACAAACCCATGCCCCGGCGGCAGCATGTCGACGCAAATGGCAACACCGAAGTCTTCCTGCAGCTGCCGCAGCGTTGCCCCGCCGCGGCCGATAAGGGCTTGATGGTAGGCCGTGTTGTACGTGAAGTGCTGCGACGCCGGGAACAACTCCGCACGGATCGCTGCGAGTCGACTCTCTACCTTCTCGAGAGCGGCGTCGATTTCTTCCTGCTGCGCACGTGTCGCCTCGACCTTCTCCGTGTCCCCCTCCGTCCCGGCGGCTGCGCGAAGTTTCTGATTAGCTGTCTCGAGTTCGTCGAAGACGGCGTTCAGCCGCGCATGTAAATCTCGAAATTCCTCGTCGCGGGCGCTGCGCTCGGCGAAGTCGGGAGCCGACGCGCTGAACTCCGCTCGTGCCTTGGCGTACTCCTCTTCCTTCAGCAGCCTCTCCACCTCCCTCACCGCAACTTCCTTCCTGCACCTCTCCACAACCTTCTTCTGCTCCGACGTCTTGGCGGCGCCGCTGCCGTTCTTCAACTTTTCCTGCTCCGCCAAAAGGCGCGTTTCGGCGACACCGGAGGCGTGTGCCGCGATGCGCATCTCACACTCGAGATCAACAATTTTGTCGCGGGCGGAGGCGCGGCTGCCTCGGCGCTCTCGCAGCTCTTCGAGGGCGCCGAGAAGGCGTCGGCGTTCGATGTGCAGGTAGTTGATTTTCTCATCGAACTGCTCATGCGCTTTGTTCTTCACGACGTTGCGGTTGCGCAGCAGCGTGTCGAGTTGGGCTTTGATGCTGCGCTTCTTATCGCGGAGTTCGCCTTGCTCGGCACGCAGGCCTTCTTCTTCTTTGAGGGCTTCCAATACCGTCGTGTCGGTGACCTCGCGCAGAAGCATCGAGTTGGGGTAGCGTGGCGGAGGGTTCACCGCCGTCACCGCCGACTGCGGGGAGTCGTTGGATTCCATCCGGTTCATTTCGAGACTACGGCCTTCGCGGAGGCGTCAAACTCCTTTCGTTTTTTTCTCCTTTCCAAATGCTCTGCCGAACGTGACGAGAGCCACTTGGCAGATGCGTGCTCCAGCCGCAACGCCCACAAAAGGATTTACTACGAGAAAAAGTGCTGTCACCACGTGAAAAGAAGATAAACAAAACGCGGAAATAAATAAAACAAAAGAGATAAAGGATGAGGCTTACAACGAAGAAAGACAACACACGAAAACTCGCGCCGAGCCGCTTCTCAGTCTTGTAAACCGAGAGCAGTCAACGCAAAGACCTCCCCAACCAGAGTTCTGCACAATAAAATGAGGTGTGCTATTACAGATATATTTTTGTACACGTCGAGATAGCGAAGAAACAATATGAGGAAACAAGGAGATGTCCGTGACGACGATCCTTTCAATGAAATTGCTAGAGTGCGAAAAGAAAACAACAGCAGTAGCACCTCCCCCCAAAAATGTACTATATAAAATTGAAGGTGAGCGCTACACTACTGCGCTTTCCCATATAAAAAGAACAGAAGATAAATCAAACAGAGTATGTCACACATAGGCGTTTGGCGAATGAAAGCGGTGCCGCGCACAACGAAAGAAGCAAGAGAGAGAGAGATAGAAGAGACCGGGAAAAAGCATAATCAAAAGAAAAAAATAACGGCGAAAAAGGTGTTTAAACAAGAGGAGAAGTTCAACAGACACACAAGCTTACTTTTGCGCGTCAGCACAGGTATCTTCGTCCTCTTTTTTTTTTGGTATATATATATATATATATATATATACTTACTATACTACCAATGGCAATTGAAGAACGTGGAAGGCTATAAAAGAAAGCAAGGAAGAATAATAATAATAACAATGAGAAAGATTGTAAAGTCGCAAACGTGGAAATCCGAAGGCGGATTTGATTCGCTGACAGACCAAATTTTGATAACGTTTCGAGCTCTCTTTGTTCTTTAGGCGCGCTGGTTTTTACGGAGGCCGAGGCGCGCAATGACCCTGCAAACAGTCAAGCGACCCTTGATGCTTCAAAGAGGGGCAATGCGAGACGCGCGTTGTCTGCGATAAACAACTCCGCGTTTGAGTAAACACGCACGTACACCCTCCCCCCTACCACACACACACACACACCAAGAAGGTGAAAGGAGCGGAAATGTTAGTTGTTCGGTGGGGAAATGAAGAAAGAAAGAAAAAAGGCGCAGGTGCGTGCACCTCCCCGTGTTGCTCTGCCTATGAAATGCGCTGCGTTTCGTGTCAGAAAACCAGAGAGAAGCGCGGGGCGTGTCCGAATTGCGGTCGCGGGACGACTCACAACCGCAGAAGAATTAGAGAAAAAACACGCGATCAGACGCGATAGGGAGAGACAAATACCAGCAGCAGCAAAAAGGAGGAGGATAAGAGAAGTTGAGGCAGACAAGTTTAGCGAGGGATGGCATACTTTTAAAATCCAGCGTTTCATTGCGGCCAGCACCGTAAAGTGGCGCTCTGACGGCAGTGCTCCACGCTGGAGGAAGGCGAGTGTGTGAGGCCGCTTTCACAAGTCTGCCAACGAGAAAGAGAAGATCGTATGCAGTGAGACGTGAAGGCGTGTTAGAGGCTGAATCTTCCAGCTATTCTTCTTCTTATCAATTTCGCTCGAGTAGAAATCTATGTGCGTCATAAGCGATGCAGTAGCCCTCACAGCGTAAACCAGTCTGCAAAGCATCTCAGCGCATTCTGTTCACTTCGAACAGGCCCTGACCAAAACCAAGTACGTTTGCGCCTTTTCCCTTCCTTTCCTTTCTACACCAGCTTAATCAGACACCGAGGAGGTCCTGCTCAAGGCGGAGACCTCGCTGGCCGATGCGTCGCTGGAGTTATCGTTCTGCGGAGACCCCAACGCATCCGCCGCGACCTCCTCCTCCGTCAGCTGCCTAACACTTGTCGAGGGCAGCGACGCATCCTGCTTCGGCAAGGGGAGAGGGCTCGTCGGTGTGTTACTGTCGATTGTTCGCGGTGCAGGTGAAGCTTTCGCTGATCCGCTAGGAAGAGGTGAGGAAGATGAGGGAGGTGCAGCAGCAGCAGCAGGAGGGTCCGGCTCTTTTCGCAGATCCGGCGACGTCCACCCAACCGCCGTATGACGCTGCGACCTGTCCGCATCGCGCTTCTCCTTCGCCTCTTGTGCCAACTTCATCTCCATCTTTTCCAACTTTTCGAGCGAGTAGGACTTGATGGGGAGCAGCTTCGGCTTGCAGAGTTGCAGCTGCATGTACTTGATTGCGGAGAAGACGAGCCCGCTCTCAGGGACGACGGGCGCTGCCCACTCATCCTCCACCTGCGCCGCGACGGCGTCCTCCATTTTCAAAACACCAACAGCAGTAATAATAATAATACGTTTGTGCGGCTCTCCTTCCAACGTGCGCGTGTAAACCGCGGAATAACCATAACCTTTTGAAAAGCAAGATATATATGTATATATGAAGAAAGTTGGATGAAATGAGAGGAGTAGACGGGGTAGAAGGATAGCCCGCTGGTGCAGCGGCCGCACAACACGCGAAGTGGACACCACGATTCACATCGTCCCATTACTTCTACTCGACAACCGAAAACGCGATGTGGACGTGGCGAGGCGGGGTGCGCTTCGATTTCCTAGAGCACACGGAAAGAAGCTGCACCTCAGGCGTCTTTTCTCAACAACGTTTTTTTCATGAGAAACGCCAGGCAGAAACAGTCGAGACAGGAAAAAGAAAATAATCTCTATTCGTCTACCACGTCGAGGACGGTGACGCACGCCAACGAGACAGGGCGGTAGAACTCCGCAATGGCTGGAAGAGCACCAAAGCACGTGTTCTGTCCCCCCCCCCTCCGCTCTTCTATCGTTCCCGCTGATTACGATTCAGGTCCGTGTGTATTTTCGATGGAGATCGCCCTGCGAAAGATTTTTGAAGTGAAAAGACAGACTTCAGGCATATTTGTTTTTACAGTTAGAGGTTTTCATTCAGGGAACACACGCAGCTCAAAAACTTGAAAAAAAGAAAAGAAATGCCCACCAGCGCTCCTGTGTGTTTTTCTTTAACTATTTTGCTTCCTTCGGGCTCGGCGGTGTAATGCGCCATCGACGTCGAAAAGCCGGAGAGACGTGTGAGCACCGCCGGTGAAGGCAGAGGACACGTAGCGAGGCGTAGCACGCCACCGCGCTGCAACTCGGACAGCGTACCTTTCCTGTGGAACGCCCTCCACCGGCGTCGCGCGTCTCATCTTCGCACGAGTCACAAACACGACTCTCTCGCCTTTTTACGCCCAACACCAATACGAAAGGAATTCTTGTCAGCGCACAAATTCTCATTCCTCTCCTGCCGCTGTTCCTCTTATGAATTTTTCATTACCAGTTTTGTTTTAATGTATAGTTTACAGGGAGCGTGCGTGTCTCCAAGACGAGACGGCGACGTCTTCCGCCGTTACCAACACACCCTGCGAGAGAGAGAGAGAGAAAAAGAAGAAGAAGAAGAGAGGCGCAAAGAGCTGTAGAGCAACGCGCAGATCTGCACGCGACTTTCGGTGGTCCTTTTCTCTTCCCGATAGGACTGCAGCCGCATTCCTTCTTTTCTTGTTTTTAGAAGAGCGACATCTCACCGTCCATGCCCTCGGCCTCCTCCTCCTCGATCTCCACCTTCGGGCGAGGGCCGTTGGACTCGAGCTCCTCGCCAGCGAGCACGTGGAGGATCTGCGCCTTCAGGTTGGACTGGTTCACCGTGAAGGTCTGCAGAAACTGCTGGCGCCACGCGATCTTCCCGCCCTTGATCACGAAGGCCATCGGGCAGGACATCACGGACAGATTCGACACATCCGCGTAGGCCTTGCTGACAGACTTGCCGTCGTCGTAGATGATGTGCGCCGGCTCAAGGCGCAGCTGCTTCTTCGTGTTCTCGTCCACGATCACCTTGCCGAGGTACTTCTCCGTTTTGGCGATGTCCGCGTCGGTGCTCACGGCGACAAACTCCACCTTGTCCGCGAGCTCATCGGCGAGGGCGGTGAACTCGTCGTTGCACACATCAGCGCCGCGGTAGAAGGTGTTGAAGAAGTACAGCACGTACGTCTTATCTTCCTCGATCGCGATCTTCTCTCCCTTGATGGGCTGTGCCGAGTCGATCTTGGGCGCCTCCTTGCCGAGCGAGGCGTCGTCGCAGTAGGTCTTGATATCGATGTCCGTCATGGTTATGCGTAAAGAAGAAGGGGAATAGAATGTAAATGACTATTAGGTGTGGTGGAAAGACGAGAAGGAATGCGCGTTGGAACTGTGAGATGAGCGGGCAGTGGAGTTGGCGCAGCGGAGATGTGCAGAGAGCAAAGTAATGGGAATACTCGAAAGAGGGGAAGGGGAGGGAGGTAAAGGAGAGAGATGTGCAGCGTCCCTGGCAAGGCGAAAAGGGAGCACGACAGCGTAGGGCGAGGACGCAGCGCATCCGCTTCGCCGTCATCGTGAACGTCGTTTCGACAGCTGTGACTCTCTGCGTTAACTTTCGTTTGTTTGAGACCCGTGCTCACTCAACACGCGAGCAACGAGTGCACCGGGGAATGCAGCTTTGAGAAAAACAATCGCCAACTGGCAAAGGGGCACCAGTGTAAGTTCAAGAAGGGCTGAGCGGGGGCGAAAAGACATCGTTTGTAGAAAGCATTTCTTTTTAGGATTAAGCGATAAAGGGAAAAAAAAGATGCGCTCAGGAAAAAAACTGTGTCGATGCAGGACACCGATACGAGTGTTGTTTCCACAGGAGAATCACACCTGGCTAAGCAGCAGTAGTGGATTCCCTTCTTCAGTCCTCGTGGCGCAGGTAGCGCCGCTCCAGGTGCTCCTTGAAGTGCGTCGTGCGGAGCCGCTCACCCGTCGCCCTCCGCAGAAGATCCTCCGTCTCGTACAGGCAGCCCTTGTCCCAGATCAGCTCCTTCTGAAGGGTAAAAATGGGCTCCATCTTTCCGGTACGGATGCACTCCTGCACCACATCATCGCCCAGCTGCTTCTTTATGGTGGCCATGAGCTGCACCGCAAACATCGACCCCAGCGCGTACGTCGGGAAGTAGCCGAAGTACGCCTGTGACCAGTGGATGTCCTGCAGGCAGCCGATGTCGTCGCGGCCCAGCGTCTCCAGGCCCAGGTACTCCTTCATGTTGTCGTTCCACACGCGCGGCACGTCGGCCGCCTCCATCGTGCCTTCAATCAAATCCCGCTCGATCTCGTAACGAGCGAGAATGTGCAATGAGTAGCTGAGCTCGTCGGCTTTCACGCGGATGTGTCCACGTGTGACCTGTTGATTCAGCTTGCGCACGTTCTCCACCGTGAAAGCAGGCTGGTCGCCGAGGTGCTCCCGAAGAAGCGGCGTTGCAAGCTCGGCGAAGGCGGACGAGCACCCAATCACCACCTCCGCAAAGCGTGATTGACTCTCATGCACCGTCATGGACCGCCCTTCGCACACGGGCTGGCCGCGCAGCTCGATCGGGCCGCAGCTCGTCTCGTACTTGGAATGACCCGTCTCGTGGATCGTCGCGAACACACACTGCTTGTAGCTCTCCTCGTTGAAGCTCATGGTGATGCGGCTGTCCTCCTTCACCATACCGGTGAAGGGGTGCACCGTGAGGTCCAATCGACCCGCCTCAAAGTCGAAGCCCCAAATACGCATAAAGTGCTTCGCTAGCAACATCTGCCGATCAAAGTGAAGAGGCGCCTGCATGGGAATAATCGAAGACACCGCGTCCTTGTCGTTGTCAAGCACCTCCCGCAAGAGTCCGGGCAGCCACGTCTTGACGTCCTCGAAGGCACACGTTAAGGTTTCCATCGACATGCCAGGCTCGTACATGTGAAAGAGGGACTCGTACAAACCTTCTCCCGATGCCGCGGAACGGTGCTGCGCCTCTTCGCGTGCAATCCCCACGGTCTGCTCCATGTGCGGCAGAAAGGCGGCGAAGTCGTTATCTCGCTTGCAGGCCGGCCACGCAGCCCGTGCGGCCGTCACCGCCCGCACCTTCCGCTGCACGAAATCTGCCGGCAGAGCGGCCTCACGCGTGTATTGCAGCTCCATCTCTCGGACATTCGCCTGCTCCACCGTGCTCAGCTCACTGAGGTGTTGCTGAACAGTGTCCAGCAGCTCTCGCGTACGAGGCGCGGCGAGAAGGTCATGCACGAGCCGCTGCAACTCCGCCATTGCCTCTCCGCGGGCGGCGGCACCTTTGGGCGGCATCATCGTTCGACCATCCCAGAAACCGAGGCAGAGGAGGTGATTAAAGTTGTAGAGCTTCTTGAAGAGCCCCTCGAGTTCACGATAGGCATCCATCTTCGATCCTTAAAAAAATAATAATGAAACATAGCACTACAGACGTTATGGGAAAACAAATGTTAGATTCTGGTTGTGACTCCACCCGCAAAAGTACGGCAAGTTGCACCGCAAAGGCTGGTGGAGGTGCGCGGCACAGCACTAGAAAACACCACGATCGAGAAGAGCAGAGAGGAGAGCACGCGAACTAACCACTCAACACTTGGCGTGTGAGAAGAGGCGAATGGCCACAGGCGACGCGCCTGGCCGTCACAGCTGCGATAGAAAGCCGCACAGATGGCCATCGCTGAATGCAGATAAACCTGCGCGACAGCACGAGGCCGGAGTGGTGAAGTTCTTTTTTCATATTAAAACAAAGGGAATAGTAACAATAATAATAGTTCATTCAAATAGAGTGATATAAAAGTGCCCAAAGACGGTACATATACGAGGCGGCAAGGCGTACAACAACAGTGGTACGTGGACGGCACGCCGCCGCAACTCCGACCCGCACACGCACGCGCATGCACAAGCGTGTGTGGGCACCTGAGGACGCTGCGGCCGTACTTCACTCATATATATATATATATATAGAGAGAGAGAGAGAGAGAGAAGAAACGGGGGCGCGCATCCGGCGCAGTCACCGTGCAGACAGACCGGCGTGTGCTTGGAAGCACGGCCCTCCAGCTTCGTGCGGCGGTCGGGTGCGTCCGTGACTCGACACACCACACCGCCGCTGCTGGTGGGAGGGACTGGCTGCCACCGTGGCGGCTGCGCCCGTGCAGGGCGTGCGTCGAAGAAGCCAAAGGAGAAAGTAAAACGGGGGTGAGGGGAGAGAGAGAGAGGAATAATCGTTAAAGGCCCGCGCCCCGCGCACCAGCGGCCGGCCACAGTAGTACAGAAGTAAAAAGAAGACGGTAAAGACGAAGAAGATATGTATAACGACCGTGCGAGTCAAACAAACGGTAGAGGAGCGAAGAAGAAAATCGTTAACTGCACTGCACAACGCGGTGGAAAGACCTGAGGCCCTCTCGGTGTGTGTGTGCACAGGGAAGAAGCGGGAGGACGGCGGTGCGCTGCGGAAGACACGCGGGTGCGTGGGTGCGCACTGCCCTGTGTGTGTGTCGGAGCACCAGAGGGCAGCGTCGTGCAGACCAGCAGCCGCGCAAAAGCCCTCGCGCAGCTATGGACGAAAGCGAAGGGAAAGAGAAAACGTGGGGACAACAACCCGGGTGGCGGAGGAAGCGGTGGCCCTACACCCATACACGTGCACGGCACCGCCGGCAGCTGCGTCGGAGCGCAATCAGGGGACGCCGTGATGGGAAGGTGCGTGTGTATGCGCGCGCGCGCTCAGCAGTCCTCGTTGCGCAGGTAGCGCCGCTCCAGGTGCTCGCGCAGATGACGCGCGTTGAGGGGCTCGCCTGTGGCCTTCGTCAGCAGCTCGTCCGTCTCGTACAGGCAGCCCTTGTCCCAGATCAGCTCCTTCTGCTTCGCCAGGATGGGGTCGATGTGGCCGGTGCGGATGCACTGCGTCACCACGTCGTCGCCCAGCTGCTGCCGGATCGTCGCCATGAGCTGCGCCGCACCAATGGCACCGATGGAGTAGGCGGGGAAGCAGGCCCACCCGCAGCCGGCCCAGTGGATGTCCTGCAGGCAGCCGATGTCGTCGCGGCCCAGCGTCTCCAGCCCGATGTAATCCTTCATCTTGTCGTTCCACACGCGCGGCACGTCGGCCGCCTCCAGCCGCCCGTCGATCAGGTCGCGCTCGATCTCGTAGCGCAGGATGACGTGCAGGGGGTTGCCCAGCTCGTCGGCAAGCGTGCGGATGTAGCTCGGCTTGACCAGCTGGTTCAGCTTGCGCACGTTCTCCACCGTCAGCCCGGGCTGCGCACCCAGGTGGAGCTCCAGCAGCGGCGTTACGTACTCCGCGAAGGCGGCCGACTTACCGATCATGCGCTCCGCCAGCAGCGACTGCGTTTCGTGGATGCCGCCGGAGCGCGCCATGCACACCGGCTGCCCCAGCATCTCGCGCGGACCGCAGCCCTGTTCGTACTTGGCGTGGCCCGTCTCGTGGATCGTCGCCAGCATGCACCTGGTGTAGTTCTCCGGGGTCCAGTAGTACGTCATGCGCACGTCCTCCTTCACCATCCCGCCAAACGGGTGCGGCGCCTTGTCGTAGCGGCCCGCGTCCCAGTCGTATTTCCACACCTCCGTCATCAGCTGCCGGCCCAGCGCCACCTGCTGCGCCTCCGCGATCGGCGTCTGCAGCGGCACGAGGCTCGCGTCCACGTCCTTGCAGTTATTGAGCACCTCCTTGTACAGCGCCGGCAGCCACGACTTGATGTCCGCGTAGATCGCGTCCAGCTTCGCCACCGTCATCCCGGGTTCATTCGCGCGCAGCAGCGCGTCGTACGGCGACAGGTCCGCCGTCCCCGCACGCACGCGGCCCTCCTCACGCCCCAGCTCCACCAGCTGCTGCAGCATCGGCAGCCACGTCGCCACGTCGTTGTCCGCGCGACACCGCACCCACAGCGGCTGTGCCAGCGCTGCGACGCGCGTTTTGCGCAGCAGCAGGTCCTCCGGCAGCTGCGTTTCCAGCGCGTGCAGCCGCGCCATCTCGCGCAGGTTCGCGCGGTCCACCTCGTCCAGCTCGTCGCGCACCGCCAGCGCCTCCTCCAACAGCACCGCCACGTGCGGCGCCGTCTTCAGCTGGTGCAGCACCGCCTGCAGCTCCGCCAGCGCGTTCGCACGCGCCTCCGCGCCCTTCACCGGCATCATCGTTTGCATGTCCCATTCGGCCAGTGCGGCCAGGTGCTGCAGGTTGTACAGCTTCTGGTGCAGCTGCTTCAGCTTCTCGTAGGCCTGCATCGCGTCAACGGGTGTGTGGTGGGTGGGGTGTGTTTGCGTGGCTGACGCAGTGCGAGGGTGTCAGCGACAGGAGGGATGCGTTGAATGCGTGTGGTAGTGGATGGGGGATGTGGGGGAACGTCGGGGATAGCTTACTCACAAGAGGGCGATTTCTGCAGTGGCGTTGCGTTGGGAGCAAACAGAAGGTATTAGGAGGAGAGAGAGAGGATGAGAAGAGGGAAGTAGAAGAAAAGGCAGTTGCCGGTCGTGGGAGCACAAGTGTGGTGTTTGACGCGGCATCGAAGGGTACGGTGCGACGGCGTGCAGGACATGGCGCATTAAGTGCCGCACAACAGCAGACGCGGGTGTTCCCGTGGTGGCCACGGCTGCAACGCTCAGAAGAGAGCACCAGCGAGGTGGTCTTTCAGGAGGGTGCTGGAACGCGTCTCGCGAATCAGCGGCTATTAAACAACGCCTTTGGAGTGCTGTTAAACGAGGACGGCGGTGCACGTGCTGCCTCAAGAGAGAATCAACAGCCAAAAGCGAGGCACGTTGGTGATTGCAGCGAAAGCAACAAAGGATTCGTTTGAACGTTCACCGTTCGGCTGCGTCTGTGCGACCGTCGTCCCACACACGCCGACACAAAGAATTACCTTTTGAAGCACTCTTCAGGTGAGAGAAAGGGAAGGAGGGAGGGAGAGCAACAAAAGAGTTGTAATGCGAAATGTGGGCAGTGGAGTCGTTTTACCGATCGCGGCCAGCGTTGCATTACCGGTGGGGGAGGGAAGGAAGAGAGGAAGAAAGGAAGAAAGATAAACGTTAAATAGTAATAATATTAATGAGTTGTCTTACATCTGAGCGGTCTGCGTGTCTTCTTGCGTCACTTCAGCGGTGCGCGGGTCCACTGACTCCGGTGCGGCCGTGTTGCTCCGAAATCCGCGTACCGCCATGTTGCCCTGCACAAACGCGGTGTCCACGTCTGCCGTCGTTGCAAGGTGAGTGAGGGTGTACCCCAACACCATCATCGAGGAATCGGGTGGAGTTGTGCTCGACGGCACTTCCTCTGCGGCGGCGTTCAGCTCCGCTGCGGAGTCGGCCGCATCACGCAGCAGCTGCGTCAGCTCCGCGTACGCCGCGAAGGCGGTGGAGGTTAGCGGGAGGCCGTTCAGTTTGCCCTGCATACGCGTCGCGATGTCCTGTATGCACCGCGGTAGCCAGCGGACATCCCCAGACGGCGCGATACACTGCAGGCGTACACGACACAGCTGCACCGCCGCCCGCACCAGCGCGCACCGGTTGGCGGTGTTGACGGAGAGATAAGCGGCGAGCTCCGCGAGAGACAGAGCCGTGGCGAGCAGCGGCTCAGAGAGTGCTGCTGGTGGGAGGCGTGCGTCCTGCGGAAACGCGGAGATGCTCTCCAGCGCCTCGAGCATCTGCTCTGCCGTCTGTACAGACTCGTGAAGAAGCACTGCGTCGCTTCCCAGCATCGCGGTGGAAAGGAAGTCACCTGCATCAACGGCTTTTGCAGCCTCCTCGTCCTCCTCATTCTCTGATCCGCTCACAAAGCCCGTACAGGCGTGGACGAGGGCGACGTGCCGCAGACACCGCAGTCGCAGGGAGGTCAGCAGCACGCAGAGCCACCCAAGAGGGAAGTCGTCAGGAACAGCGCCTTCCACCTCCGCCTGCCTCTCCGCCGTCCACACGGCGTCCACCACCTGACAGACCTTGGCGGCGCGCTCTCGGATGTGGCGCAGGTGCGCTCGACAGGTCCGGAGCACCTCCGCCGTTGGCGGTGGCGTAGTCGCCGCCTCTGCCGGCTCTGCCGGTCTGCACAAGTCGTGCACCTTCTCGGACAACAGCTGACATTCGTATTCCAACAGACTGAGGGTCCAGGTGGCCGCCCCTCTGTCTTCGAGGACGGTGCACGGCAGCGACTGCGGTTGCCGGAGAAGCTGCAATTCATCGCGCACGAGCTGCAGCACCGCGTCAGCCGGCATGTTGGCTGTGCGCTGCCGCAGTTCTTTGCACCGCTGACCCCAACGCTGCTGCTGACGTAAGAAAGCTACGAGCGACCACGTTGCGACGGGCGGGGCGACAGGATTGTCTTCCGCGCTCTGCGGCGACGGCGTGCGTGCTGCGTCAAAGTCGTACGCTAGACTTCGCGGTGGCGCTGCAGCCCCTGCCTCGTTCGGATGTCTTACATTGTATCGGCGAGGGTCACTGAAGCACACATGCGGTGGTGCGCGGTGGTAGTCCTTCACCGGCGCTGGTGGAGGAGCCTGCCCCGGTGTGGTACTGCGCTCCGACGGTGTGTGCCAGTCCGCTGCGGCCGGACTCGGCATGAGCGGCGTGGCCTGCATGTGAAGGCTGTCGGCGCCATAGTACTCAAACAGCACCTCCACGTTGGTCTGCAGGAAGTACTGCGCCTCCAGGGGGGAGGAGAGAGCCGGCGTGATGGGCAGCCAGCCACCGCTGCGGGCGTCGAGGCCGAGCACCTGCACATTCCACCCGTAGAGCGACGCACGTAGCTGCGGTTCGACGAGGGCAAGAGTCACCAACACGTCGTGCCACGTCACGCCGCCTTCCACCGTACAGAACGGCAGCCCGCAGCGCGCGGTGGCGCTGACTTGTAGGGACAGCACGTGTGTGTCGGGCAGCACAACACGGCGTACTGTGAAGACGCACACGCTTAGCTGCGCGGCATCGTCGAAGGGGGAGATCGTTATTTGGTAGGCGTAGCCGTCGGCGACGTTGAAGAGGACGGAGGTGGGCACCGGGGGGCGGAGGGGGAGGGCATCAGAGGGGAGTGCAAAGCTTGGCTGCCAAGGCTTCTCTTCAGACATTTTCTGAGACGCTGCTGCGCGACGATCAGCGAGTTGCTGCAGCTGCGGCATGACGGGTCTGTAGAAAGGGGAAAGCAAGGGACGAAGATGGGTTGCGTCGTTGGGCCGGTGAGTGAGAGGCGGAGTGGCGTGCGTGTTCGGTCGACTCTTGTGTCGACTGTGAAGTATATAGTTATCTCTGTTTGTTCTCCGTTTTAGATGTATCCTGCTGCGCTCTGACGTCTGATGTGTCTCGACGGCGAATCCTGTGCTACGAGGAGTCACTTGGAGAAAATAGCAGCAGAGGAGTCTGGTGGGGAAAAAGAATATTTGTATGTATAGTTCGTGGAGCAACGTTGTGGGTCTGGTGACTACTGTAAGAAGAGCGCCTGTTCGATGCGTCTGCTTTGATTGATTTATCTGAAGTTGAGAGTGTTAGTGTAGAATCTAGTGTGTGCGCGTGTATGGGTGTGAATGTAATGTGCTTCTATCCAAGTCTATGTACCATTGCTGGTGTCTGGAAAGGACAGGCGTTGGTGCGTCGACGTACGTGGCGTGCGAGCCAGAGTGTGCGCTTAGCTCTCTTTTTTTCGGAGAAGAAAGCCAGATAACGCAAAGGAAAGCGGAACGGCCCAGCAACAACAGCAGGAGTAGTAGTCGAAAGATCAGTGCAGAAATGTCCGTCCGCGTCCCACCGCAGCCGTGTCTTCGAGAGAGAGCAGATGATGTCAAAGCAGAAGAACAAGAAGCGGTAGAGGAAAGACAAGGTTACGGCAACACCGCGGAACATCGTGAGCGGAGGGCGGAGAAGAAAAAAAAGAACGATGCGGCAGCAAATGCTGCTTCGTCATCGGAGGCACACGTCGCAATGATCATCATTAGTAGAGACGACGCATTACGTACTTCTGTCCTTTCCTTGGTCGTGTGCGCGATGCGCCCGTAAACGCCATACATTAAAGCCCATCGCAAGAAAAAGCGCGCGAGGCGAAAGAGGAGGGTTCACCCCAGAGAGTAACGGAAGCAGAAGTATTAATTCTTCATTACCGCACAAGGCACTGGTCAGTGAAGAACGACGGAGTTCTCCAGCAGGTAGTCAATCAGCAGCTGAGGAAAAGCGAGTCGAAAGACGGAGAGGGGCATGGAGGCAACGCAGCAGGACGCGGAACAGGGCTCATTGCTGCATGGGGCGCCGCCGGCAACGCTACTGCTGCCAGTGGAGCTCTCCGTAGTCTTATATCGCACCACCATCTGCTCGACGTGCGGCTTCACGATCTCCTGAGCTGCATTGCCGTAGAGCGGAGACTCCAGCTGCACGCTGAGGCGCATCTCCTCCACGTCCTTTTCGCCCACGAGGCCCTCGAGCGTCACTGGGGCGCTGAAGACGGTGCCCGAGTAGGTCGTGCGTGGTGGGGCGATGCTCAGGATGCGCAGGTGAGACGAGCGCGCCGCCTCCTGGGCCAACACCAACTGCGCCTCCGCGCTTTGTAAGTGGAGTTGAAAGTGGTTGCGAAACGGCGTCACATGGCGAGACACATCCACGCTGTGCAGAAGACTGTAGCCGTGTGCTTCGCGCCACCGCTTCTCCACCTCCAGCGCAGGGACTGTGCTGAGGGACCAGGCAGCTCTGGCGGCATTCGGATGCGGCTTCTTGCGATGGTCGCCGCGCTTATTTAACGCCATCGACGCCTCTTCCGCTAACACCACCTCACCTAACAGCAGCACCGTGGCCTCCTCCGTACTCGTCTGTGCATCCTCCTCCCCGCCTACTTCGTTCTTCACACCCGTTCGCTGAGGCACACGCAGAAGGAGCCCATGCAGGACCTCCGCCTCCACCTCCGCCTTTCTTTCCGTGCCTTCCGGTTTGGCTGCTGCGGTGCCATCACCAGTGCGGCTGTCCGCCCGAGAGGAGGAGCGACTCCGTTTGCATCCACCCGTCTTGAGCGGCGGCGGGGAGGGGGAGGGCCCCGCTTGCTCGCTGTCCCTCTCTCCTCGCTCCGCGTGCCGCCACTGCGCCAGGACCGCATCTGTCGCGTCCATGCAGCGCTGATCGACCGCCTGCACCATATCAGCGCACCTTTCAGTCAAGTCGTCCCGCCGCTCCCACGTGACCTCGTCACCGTAGCCTTCCCACTGCACGGCGTACTCAATGGAGCCGTTGTCGGCGTTGATGCGGCGGTCCGACACCGCAGCCACGGGGTAGTACGCCATGAATAGAGAAGACGAGCAGTGGAGAAACGGTGAACTGTTCTCCCTTCAAAGAATGAAGAGGAAAGAGACGAGCATGAGAAGAGGAAGGGCGTATTCAAGAGGAGAAGACATCATTGTACCGCCGCTATCACGGCAGAAGTCGGATTGTCAGAGGAGGCTGACATCTATCCATGCGAAAAAGTGAGAGGTCGTCTCGTGAGAAACGTTCGAGTCGCGCTAAGGTGTGAGTTGACGTGGGCGGCTATGCCGGCTCATCCGCAGAGGATACAAAGACGCTCTCTACAGCACTGTCGTCGCTGCGGTAGCGTAATAACTGGGGGGCTCACCACGCTGACCGCGTTTCTATGCGTTTTGAGTTGTCTTACAGAGATGTGACGCGCGCCAAGAGTAAAAGAAAACAGAAGGAAAAAGTAATAGTAAATAAACCACCGCAAACGCCACCATCATGTCGGTGCAGCTACTTCATGGAAGTAGAACAACGACAGAGAGTCATGCACGTCACACTCCTCAGCTTCTCGTTGTGCTGCGCTCTCACATGCCTACTCAGTTGCTTGCACAGCAACATCATTACCATAAACCCACCCATACACACCCATACACACACACACAATGGAATTCTGTCGTTCATCTTCATCCGCGACACCATTCCGCACTAAGAAAGAACACACCACACGTGCAATCAACTACAAACAAACAAACAGAAAATCATCCTTTGGTCTAGCACGTACCCACGCCGAGAGAACGCACTGATCTTGGCTTACAGCAGCTCCACCTTGGCGCCAAGCTTCTCATACAGCCCTTTCAGCTTCTCCGCGTCGTCCTTGCTCATATTCGTTGCCACCAGCCCCGGGCACTTCTCCACCGCCTTCTTGGCGTCGGCGATGCTGAGGCTGGTGACACTGCGCAGCTCCTTGATAAGCTTAATCTTAATCTCCGGCGCAAACTTCTCCAGCTTCACATCGTAGGTCAGCTTCTCCACTTTCTTCTTCTCCGGCTTTGGGGCCTCCGCCGCCGCCTCAGCAGCAGGGGCCGCAGCCGCCGCCGCAACGGGCGCCATCACAACGCCGCCGCCGCCGCCACCGGCGCCGAGGCCCTTCAGTAGCGCCTTCTCGTAGAAGTCGTCGCTGTGGCCCAGTTTCTTGAAGATGAGCCGCTGCAGGTCCGACACCTCCTTCAGCGTCAGCTGCGCGTAGGCCGCCGCGAGCTCGTCGAGCTTGGCGTTGTCGGCGGACTTGGTCGCACAGCAGCGGAGCGACACCGCGCTCCGCGCCATCAACCCACTCGCTACGAGAGCACGGCGCATGGTGTCGTTGGCTGTGGATCGTAGTTGTTTGTGGGTATTCGAAGGTAAGAAGGAGAATGAATATGCTAGGCTGCAGAAAGCAGATGTGTATGTGAGGAGTTGCTACGGCTACTACGTTAGTGTCAAGAGCGGGGACTACAGCTGGGCGGACACAACGATGGAAAACAAGAAGAAGAGGAAACGAGAAGTGCGGAGATGAACGATACGAGCTACATCCTTCTTTGATAGCGAAGCGCAGACGGAAAGAGTAAGGAGGGTGCTTTGATCCGTCTACACACACACAAGCAAAACACACAGTAGCAATCACGATCCAAGTCTTTCCCAAATCGCTGCACGTCGCTGGAGGGCAGAATGGGCCGCATCAACAGCCTCCAAAGTATATCAAAAGGACGTATGCAACTCTCAAATCGACCCCTCGCACTCTGATGGACATCATCGTTCCACACATCACCAAATGTTGCTTTCTTCTATTCTGTAAGATGGCCTTGACGCACATACAGAGCAGTGCACTGTTGTGATGCGTGCCTGCGAGCAACGGGCTCCGAGAGAACAGAACGATCTGGAACGCGGAGATGGTCTTCCACCAGTGAAATCAGCAACCTTATTCTTCGACTATCATGAGTGTGGAATAGACCGAGAAGCCCTTTTCGCCCCTTTTTCAATCACGAGCTCCTCGCAGAAGTGTCTTTCCACGGCGTGTATGTAGGGGGTGGTGGCACTCCGCGAAACTCTTCGTAAAAGCCTGGTGCCCAGCTCAGCAGATGGGTGTAAAAGGTGTAGCTCGTCACGTCGCCCTCCTTCTTCAGCCGCTTCGTGTAGCAGCGCTCGATGACGTCCTCTGAAATGCTGAGCTGATGCCCGCTCAGGAGTTTTTGGTGCTGCAACGTGCGCAGGACGTCGGCCTGAATCATCGAGGTGGCCTGCACGAGATAGTCCACCGAGACACAGTGGCCCTCCTCCATCGCACGTGCGAGAGCCATGGTGACGGTATCAGACCAGAAGCTCAAGTACAGCTTCTCCCCTAAATCACTCAACGGCTTCTCCGGGGTGCCCACCTTGCCCTCTCGGCGGGACAGCTCGTAGCTTAGCTCGATCAGGAAGCGACCGATGCCGCGACTCTGATACTGCGGGAGGACCAGAATGCACGACAGGTTGTACGGCTCTGGGGTCTGCTTTTCCTTGCTGAAGTAACCCAGTACCTGCAGCCCGTGCGTCTCGACGGAGCAGAGCACGTAGAACAGAAAAGGTGTCATGTCGTGGTCCAAGGCCTTGTGCTCAAGAAACAGCTTCGACAGGAGGGCGAGGTGCTCGCAGAAGGTCGGCTCCAGCGAGCCGTCCAGCTCGAGCACCACGAGACGACGCACCGGGTCGCGGTAGATTTCATTGCCCGGCGGGTGGCGCAGACAATCCTGCTGGAGGTGCCGCACCACCGCCTCGTTGTCGAGGAAAGGACGTAAGCAGTAAGGACATATATGCAGGGAGAAGGAGCGGGTGGCGATGGGCCGCTGCCGGACCGGCACTCCGTTATTGCTGTTGCCGTTGCTGGCGCGATCATCGCCGCCGTTGCCGCTGACGGAGATGCCGCTCGTGTTGGCGGTGGGCGCGCTCGACTGCACCAGCTGCAGTTCGGTGCTGCCCGTGACACACTGTGAAGCTGCCAAGAGCCGCTGCTGCACCTCTGGTCGAGCGAGGTGATAGGGACTGAAGTACCACGTCTCCACCTCATAGGGTCCCATGCAGACGGAGAAGATGTTCTTGGTGCGAGAGAAAAACGCACTGTCCCGGCGCGCACGCATCTTCGACACCTTCACCAGGTGCGGCGCACACCCGCCACCTTTGGCGTTGGCCGCCGCCTCTGTGGACACCGGTGCCCCATCAGTGGCCAGCAGCGCCGTCTCCGAGCTGGGCTGATCGGGCGTGGTGCTCTGCCGCCGTGTCTTGACGCCACCGAGGGCGTGCTGCTGATAATTGCTGCCGCTGCTGTGGTGCGCGCGGCCCTGGTGGCGCTCCTTAATGTCACTCGCCGGGAGCCACTGGTCGAGGCGGCTATCCTGCTCGACGTAGCGGATGTAATAAAGGCAGGCACCGTTGGTGGAGTCCTCGGCCACCTCCAGCACGATGGCCGCGTGGAAGGTGCCGTTGAGGAGCGCGTACACTTTCTGCTTCTCCTCGAACGCCGGTAACGCACCGCCGGACATGGTGAGGGAGGTGAAGGCACCCCACGCTGGTGAGCCGCGCAGATGTATAATGTATATGTGTATTGGCGAATTTAAAGGGGGACGGTCTTCTGTCTGTGACGTGCAAGCTGAAAAGACCTCTCTGCCTCAACGCGGCTCTTCTCGCGCCTACCAATGAAAAAGAAGAAAACTAGGCGATTGAAGGAAAGAGAGGGAGAAGAACATGGAACAACGCTGCTTCAGGGAGCACCGAATAAGATCTTTCAAGAGGGAGAAAACGTGTGTATGCGTGCCAAACCTCCTACCCACTCTATCGAATCACGTAAAGAGAGGAAAAAATCACGTAGCGCGAAGCAGCGTCTTTGTGAAGGACCCGTGGTGCATGTTTCACCTCCCGTGGTCAAACGTTGTTTCGCCGTCACGGAGAGATAAGGCTATCCTATCAAGAAGTTGCGGTGAGATCCATGGAAGAGATGACGCCACGCCGAGTGCGTTCATCGTGTCCTGCTCTCGACGCCTTCTCCGTCTTTGTGGCCTTTTAGTTTTAAATGTCTAACGGGATTGCGCGGCTGTCAACCTGCTAATGATTAAAACTGTTAACAGCACCTCAGCAAAAAAAGCACTTTACCTACAAGTACATAGGTGCATCCTTTGAAGAAATTAGAAGAGAGGGATGTATGCAGCACGTGACGAACGAAACACAATAACACAAACAAACAATAGAGAAAAACAAAGTCAAAAGTCGAAAAGGCTCAGATTCAAGAAGAAAAACGGTGTTGTTGATACATTTGCAGAGGTGTGGAGGGAGGCCTCCTTACATTTTCCCCTTTTCACGCAGACACGGGCATCATCATTTAGGTTTATATGCGATGATGTCCTTCATCACGTCCAGAAACTTCGTGTTGTCGACGCCGGTGATGAGCTCGCAGTTGCGCCAGCGCCCGCGCTTGGCCATGGATTGCTCCGTGCCGTACCAGTCCAGGCAGGTCTGCCCACGTGTGTTGGAGCCGTGCATCTCCACGCAGCAGTAGGTGACAAAGCGGTCCTTCACGCTATCAGGGTGCAGAGCAGTGACCATCGCCACGGCATCCGGGATAACACAGGTGTAATCTTGAGTCGCCTCGGCGTCACCGGTGTCCGCCTTCGTGCCGTCTGCGTGCGGTCGCGTAAACGCCTCCAATCGCTGAAAGACTTTTTCGATAAAGACTTGAATTTTGTTTTGCTCCTTCCCCCCGTCTGGCTGGCGACCCACCCACCCGTCGTAGAAGATCCACGTCATGGGACAGTCCACCGTGACCTCCCACGTCACGAGACGCACGGGGCGCATATGCCGCTGGTTGAACACCACAAAGGCCGCCTCGGGGTCGCAGTGGACGTTAAACTCCGCCGTCATGTTCGAATTGCCCTTCGCCTCGCTGGCACCACCCATAATCGTGATGGCGGGCTCCGTCTCGCTGCCCAGCACGTCAAAGACCTCTGGGGCAATGCGCATCGCCAGCGCCACGTTCGTCAGCGGACCGAGACAGACAAGCTGATAAACGGTGTCCTCGTCGGGCTTGGCCTCCCGCAGAAAATCCACGATCGCCAGTGCGGCGTGCGTCGTGCGTTGCTGCGCCACGCGAGTGGAGGGCGGGAAGTCCGCGTCGCCGAAGCCGTCCTTGCCGAAGCCTCCCCACTGCACCGTCTCGCAGTCCACCACGAGGGGTGCCTCCGCGCCTTTGAAGAAGGGGATGTCGCGCTCAAACACGTCGAGTATCTTGCCCAGGTTCTCCATCCCCTGGTCCGGCTTCACGTTGCCCCAGACGGCGGTGATGGCGATGATGTCCGTGTTCGGGTCAGCCAGCGCTGCCATGATGCCGATGGCGTCATCGCCGCCGCAGTCCGTGTCGATGATGATCTTACGCCGCGGCATTACTAGGATGAAGACAAAGAAAATGAATAAAGAAAGCAAACCAGCGAAGTACGTGCCGGTGCCTGTGTACGTCTTCTCCGTTCCACAACGTTCACCTCGTGAGGTGAGTGGGAGTCACGACAAGCGGATGAATCGAGCGATAACAGCAGCAGCCAAAAGAAAAAAGAAGAGAAGAGAGACGACGGTTGTAACGAGTGTATTGATTTTTTCTTTTAGTAGTTTTACAATTTGGTGCTTCCAATGCAATAGAGCTGTGGAGAAACGTTGATGCGCCAGGCGTTCAAACGTAGAAGCAGTAATAATGAAGAAGAAGGCACGATTTGCGAAGGGAGGTAACGTTGGAGGGTCGAAAGGGAAGTCATTGGCGCCCAGCGGACCTATTCTTGCTGTGTTGTGCGGTCAGCGAAGGCGCTACAATAGCGCCGCCTAGGATTCAGGTGTTATTATACTAGCACTGCCAAACTCGTTGTTGGTACTCGATGTCGTCTTTCCCCTCCATTTTCTTCTGCTTTAGCGTGCTTCCCTCCGAAACTCGCTGTGCAGAATGGCGGTAAGAGGGGCACACACACGGCCCTACAAAAGTACGTCCTACAACTAGCTGGGCTTTTCTCTTGTTGTTTGCTTATGACGCTACGCTGTAATCGAACTGTGCGACAAGAGCCAGATAAAACGAGAGGACGTCTATCGGGTATGTATCTAGTGTCTAACAACAGAAAAAGGCCCACTTATTTTGACTCCGGCAGTCCGTAGTAACGATAGTGACTGTACTGCCGCTGCGGGTCGTAGGAGCCGCCGTAGCGCTGCAGCAGATAGCTGTGGGAGGAGGCTTCAGCGCTTTCCCTCCTGCCTTCAGCGCGCCGTGGCCGGCCGCCACAGGAAGCGGTGCGCCGGGCCTGCGGACTACTACTGCGTCGCGCCGCAGCGATTTGCTCCATGAGCACCTCGTACGCGCTTTTGCGAAACGTCAACGGTGCTATACCGGACGCCACTGCCGCCTTCGTTGTAGCTGCTGCTGTGGCGGATGCTGTGGTGGGCAGCAGCTGCTGTGCCGCTTGTGCGAATTGCTGTTCCGCGTTTGAGCCGACTTGGTTGATGCGCTCAACGGCATCCGCCACGGCACTGCGGCGCTGCTCTACTTCCGTGTTCCCTTGACGCGCGTAGGCGACGGACTGCGTTAGCGTGAAGGCGGTGCCGTTGTCGTTGCGCAGCAGTCCGATGTCGTGGCGGCCCACGTGCTGGAGGCTCTGGGCGATGTTCGTCATGAGCGATCCCACGTCGTAGTCTGACAGAATGAAGAGCCGACACACCTCATCTCGCACTTTCTCCTCCACTTCCAGGTAGCGGGTGCCCTCCGCGTTTGCCTGAGGACGGCGCACCGCACTCTCCAGGGCCTGCCACGACTCGACGGATATCGGCTGCACGGCGGGCGGCGCAGGCGCACTCGGCGCTGCAGGGGCCGGAGGAGCAACGAGAGGCGCAGCACCGACAGTAGCAGCGGCGGCAGGAGACGTCGTAGTGGGTGCCGCGGTTGTTGTGGCGGAAGACGGGGGAGGGGGCACGACAGCCGCTGCTGGAGGCGGCGGTGGCGCCGTCGCGTACGCCGCTGGCGGTGCGGGAACCGCTGCTGCTGGCGGTGGCGGCGGTGGCACCGCGAAGGAAGGAAGCGGCGGGAGGGCAACAGCGGCGGATGGAGGTGGGGGCGGCACGGCGGCTGCGGTTGGTGGTGGCAGAGGCACCGCAGCGGCTGGGGGAGGGGGCGGCATCGGCACGGCGGCCGGCGGCGGTAGTGGTGGAATGGACATTTTCGTGTGTACGGCTGGAGTGTGGTTTGATCTATCTATAATGTAATTAAAAAGAAGAGCACGGACACGCTGTATGTCCGCGTCAGCACCGATGAGCGGAAAGCACTTTTCGAATGCCGTGTTGAAGTGGTCAGTGGTCACAACGACAAGAGGAAAGAAAAAGGTTTCTTTTGAGCGACGATTTAAAGCGTAGACGTTAAACCCATTGGCCTGTGAGGAAAATACGCACCATCCACGGCATCCGCTGCGGGTTTTGAAAAAAAAAAAAGGCCCAGCTCCTTTCTTAGCTTGCCGTGGAAGCTGCGCAGGGCTGAGACGGCGACTGGGAGAATGATGCCTTCAGTTTCACGTCTGCTCCCTTCTCGTGAAACAACTCGGGTGCGTTGTTCTCGAACAAAGCAGCGTCCCTCCACCATTCGTTTTTGCGTTTCTCCTGTTGCTTTGGAGTTCGATACGGCGACGACCGCCTTCGCAACAACACGGAACCAGATCTGTCCACAAACAAACGGCACACCGTTGACATGCAGAAAAGGCGAAGGTGAGAAGCAAGACAACAAATTACACCTTCTCGGCCCTTCTCTTTCGCCTCACGCAGACTCCTGCATCTTGGCGTTCATCTCACCGCTGTCGTACGACTTCTTCGTTTTGGGATCGTGCAGAATCTTGTAGGCCTCGATGATGCGCTGTATGTGCTTCTTCTTTGTCTCGGCTTCCGCCTCGGGATGCACATCAGGGTGGTGCAGCCGCACCGCTTCTCGGAACGCCTTCGTGATTTCCTTCGGCGTTGCAGCGAACTCCTTCCCCTTCAGGCCTAACAGGTCGTAATAGCCGAGCGGATCAGCGTCGATGAGGTCGGTGCGCCGACGGTTCTTGGGGTCGAATTGATGGCCGCGTGCTCGTGCCCGATCGCGCGCCGTCTCCTCCTTCACGCGCTGCTCAAACGTGTCCTTCGCGCGTGCCTGACGGCGCAGTTCCTCGCGATACTCGTACTCCTCCTTCTCCTCCTCTTCGGGGGTCCAGCGGTAGCCAGCGTTGTCGGCCACGAGGTTCAGCACCCCGACGGACTTTAGCTGCGCCATCAGCCGCATCTGGCTCTGCAGGAAACGAACGCGCGAGAGGGTCTGCAGCACAAAGCTGGAGGAAACTCCGGCGGTGAGCGCCGCCGCGGTTGCAACGCCCGGCTCCACCAGCGGCGCTAGACTCAGCAGCGTGCCGATGGCGGCAGAGGCGGCCACGCCCAGCCGCTTCCGTCGGCGGATGTGCAGGACTGGGCCGACAACTTTTCCGGTGGCCCCGCAGAGAAAAGCGGGGACGGGGGTGCTGTGCGAGACCGTCGACACCACCAGCTTAAACAGCGGCAGAAAAACGGGTCGAATGCCCAACGCCTCCATGTGCATGCTGGTCACCGTGATGTTGCTCTTAAGAAACGACCCGTGGAACTTGCGCAGCTCGCGGTCGATGCGGTCCATCACAAGTCGGCGGTTCACGCGCCGCTCCACCACGGAGAGGGCGGTGATTGTGGACATCGTGAAGGGCACAACGATGGGTTTGTGTGGCATCTTCTCCACTTCGTGCAGGAGCTCAAAGCGGGAGATGAGCATCGAGGGCACGTGTGTCCCGGCAAGACATTGCTCCACGACACTGATGGGCTCGCGATAAGAGGCGGAGACTTGGTTCACCGGCATAAACTCGCCGAACGGGTAGCTAAACTCATACCGCGGGCCCTCCAGCCAGACAAAGTTGTGCGGGTGCGTCAGGTAGGTCTTGTCGTGCTGAAGCAATTCCGCCTTGAAGGTGCCGCCGGCAGACGTTTGCGTGAGCCAGAATGGCATGAGGAAACGCTCCACTTTGTGGATCTCCACCGCCGTGCTGTGGTGCCTGCAGACGTTGTCGACCGCCTCCGCGTCTGAGATGCGAAAGGGAATGCCGAATGCTTTTTTATTAATTATCGTCTTGTTCTTTTCCAACCGATCGGCGTTGATGGCGAAGGCGGCCACTGCCGTCTCGTCGGAGTTGCCGTGCCCATTCGCCGACTCCTCAAACCACGAGCTGAAGGAGCGGCGTGGTAATGGGAATGGCTGGTCGTGTGCGCCGCTGTGCGTGCAGGAAGCTAACGAATGCCTTCGACACAGCCGTCGTGGAGGCGCTGAGGTGAGAAGAGGAGCCCGCATGCTGGGAGCAGCAGGTCCTACAATACAACAAGACTATCAAAAAACAAACGGAAGGTCTTCGTTGTCCTTTCTTCTCCGCGGAACACGAATAGGGTGTGAGAGAAGTGCAGTGGAGTGCCGTAAGACTGCATCACCACAGCTACACGCCTTTTCATGCGAAGATGAACTGCGAGGTGTACCAACCACGGCGGATTCACACAACCACGCACAGTAGAGGAAGAAAGAAAAAGACGGAGGAGGGGCGCCAGAATGTCCAGAAAGCGGCATGCAGAAGGTGGGGAGGGGGGGGGGGGGGCGTGACAACACACAGCGGACGGGAACGCGTGTTGGGCTGATAGACCACGAAGCATGTAGAGTACTGACGTGCGCTTGCCGCTCAAATACGGCCTCACGTTGTGAATGCTGCGACATAACACATTCATTCTTACGCTTTAAAAGACGACCCACAACCACCGTACCGCGCGGACGCAAAAGGAGGTGCGTTGGGTTTCTGGCTGGTGGGCTCATTTGGTTGACAAGGCGGTGAACAGACGATGAGGTTGGATACATGCGTAAGGAGCAATGCGGCAGCGTAGACGGTGTGTGTATGCGGAAAGTGAGAACACCCGGGAGGGGGGGGGGGAGGAGGAAAGCGAAAACCGTCCGACTGCGCAAATGGAATAAGAAAGAAAAGATGTCTGGAGCCCCGCGAGTTCACCGTGAAGAGCTGTCGTCTTCAACAAGCGTTGACACACCAACGGAAAAAAAAAGAGTAAAACACAATTCTATTGTACATGAAAGAACCTTTTTTTTCTTGGCGAGCTACGACAGAGGAGCTCGTTGACGCCCTTTTCCCGTCTAACAATCAGCAGCAGAGAATCGGAGAAAACTCGTGGGTCGCATTAAGCATCGTTCGATTCAAAGGCTCCCCGATATTGGACGAGCCTCTTGCGAGAAGTCCACCGTCTTTCCCCCGTCAAGGCTAATCGTCGGCGCACTGCCCAGCAGCAGCGTGGAGTTGCTGTGACGCGCGTTCAGCTGCTGCGTCGTGTAAGACAAGAAAGCAGCCAGGCGGCGAGGAGCCGGGACGAGGGGATCGGGGCACCAATGATAGGCCACTGCGGCCAGCGCGTCCACAAAGAGTCCAAACGAGAGGTAGGTGGGGTTAGGCACCTTGCATTGCCGTGCGAGCAAAGGAACCAGCCTGCGTATCTGTGCCGTGCAGACGAAGAAGCACAGCCGCGTTGCGTCTGCGGCGAGCGGGGCTGCCGTGCCGCGCTCACTACCGTCACTCAGGTAGCGGCAGTCGTCCAGAAAGGAGAGGAGCGTCGAGACGGACATCTGCGCAGAGAAGCGGCCGCCGTCCTGTTGCGCCATCGCCCGCTCTTGCGCATTCCGCGACGACTCCTGCTGCTTCACGTAAAAGATGAATGTGCGGAACAAATCCTCGCTGAAGTAGTGCAGCACGCTTTGCATATCAGGGGTGTAGATGTCTTCCTCGACCACTGTCATCTTTTCGCGGTTGGGCAGTTGCAGCCGCTGCAGAAGGCGGCGGGAGCCCTCGACCAGACCAAACTCGCCGTTCTCGGCACCCACCGCGATGCGCACGAGCAGCTCGACGAATTGACCGGGAGTGGCGCTGCGAATGTCCATCTCTTGGTAGGTCACCCGACGCAGTTTCTGCACGTTCATCTCATTTTGGTTCCGCGCCGTGGTTTTAATGACGGCGTCGAGCTGCGGCGACACGACTCGGTCGTACTGCAGCACGATCCACGACTTCGGTACCTCGAGGGGGCCGACTAGAATCCCACTCGCCTCCACGAAGCGCCAGAAGGCAACCTCCGACAGCGTCTTTGCGTTCTCGCCGGCAAAGAAGAAAAAGAGGCGAGAGATGATGTCGACGTGGTCGCGCAGCACCGCCGGCAGCGCCTGCGTCGTGACAAACTCCCACATCGCCGACTCTACGCTCAGCTGCGTCTCCTCGCGCAGGTCGTTCAAGGTTTCAGGCGCCAACTGCCAGAACACGCGTCGGCTTGCCTCCTCGACGACGGGGACGGGTGCGCCGCGCAGACGTTCGCTGCCAAGTCGGGCCTCTTCCTCGGCTATGGCGATGCTCCCTTCCACGACGTCCGCCTCTGCGGAAAAGGCCGTCTCCAACTCCTCGCCGGTGCGCTGCAGCCGCTGCACGAAATCGGCGATGTGCGCCGTCACCGTCGCCGAGTCCAGCAACTTCGTTTCTTCCTCCTCTTGTTTGGGCTCAACCGCTGGCGTGTCTCCGCCTTCCTTTGTATGCGTGGGCGTGGCGGCACACGCCTCCACGGTGGCCGTCAACGAGCGTTCTCGAAACTCACCAAGCTCTGCGGCGGACTTCTCGGCCGACTCCTTCCACAGGCGCGTGAGATGCCGCTGCTGCAGCTCGCTCAAGGAGCACACCAGCAGGTCTTCCCGCTCATTTATGAAATCGGAGGGAAGAAGGATGTACCGCAGTTTGCACTGCATCGCACAGTCGCGGATGCGTCGCATTCGGGTCTCCACTCCCATCGACTGCACCGAGAGCACGCTCGCGACGATGCCGGGGAATACGTGATGCAGCAGGCACAGGTAGCGCTCGCCGTCTGCGAAGTCGGAGCCGAGGCGGCTGATAGGACGGAAAGGCGTCTCGCGCCCTTGCACTTCGGCGAGCACCCCATCCGCCCATCGCCGCAGCCGCTCGAGCGAGGAGCCGGACGAGCTCGCAACTGTGGTCTCGACTTCTTCCGGGGTGTCCACCGGGGAGACACGGTCCACGTCAGAGGCAACCGCAGAGGTGCAACTTTCCTGCGCGGCGGCCGTCTTTGATTGGACGAAGATGCGAGACAATTCGTCGTACGTGCTGAGGAGTCGCAGCAGCCGTGACACGCTCTGCGTGAGAAGGCGGCGGAACTCCTTTTCCCGCCGCACCCGTTCCTCCTTCAGCTCCGCCACTTCGTGTGCGAGGTTGATGTTGAGCTCCGTGACTCGAACCGCCTCATCCGAGGCCTCCTTTGCGGCTTGGACGAGGCGATCGGCGCGGTAGCACTGCAGCTGAAACTGGTTCTTCGCATTTTCAAGTTGGAAAGCAGCGTCGTGCAGCCGCTCCGTCAGGTAGGCGCTGCGTGAGCGCTCCACCAGCAGCTTCCACTGGTAGAAGACGGCCTGCTTCCGCAGCTGCCCTGCTTCCTCAGCACCTCGCTTCGCCTTGCTGTCGCTGATGAGTTGGACGAGTCGGTTCTGGTGCATGTGACTGCGCCAGCCGCGGAACACAGCGCAGAGGCGCATGCGCCGCTCACGCCCAACCAACCGCATCACCACATTTCTGCGCTCGTCGTTCGCCTTGACAGCTGCTTCCAGCGACTGGCGCAGCCTTGTCGCCGACAGCTTCCCCGACTGCGCCTCGTCCACGAACATGGCGTGAGTGAAGTAGGGGTTGTCGTCGATAACGTCGCGGTCGCGCACCTGCAGCTGCACCGCCGGCGACGCGGTGCAGACTTGACCCGGCTCGTATTTGCAGTAGAGGGCGGGGAGGAGGGAGTCCATCACAGCCGTCAGCGCCATACTTCTTGCCTCTCGCGCTAAGATCTTCAGCCCCCAAGTGGCTACGGCGGCCTGTGTGGCTGGGCTGCCGTCTGCGCTATGCTGCGTCTCCTTCAGCATCGCCTCCACAAAAACACTCGCGGAGTGGTACTGACTGCGTTGCGCACTGAGCCGATTCACAAGCTGGGCGTAGCGGTGCTGCCGAATGCGCTCGTCAGTTTCGTCATCATTTTCCTCGGTCTGCTTGCTCTCCTGCACGAGACGCACCGTGTTGGTCGCCACGTCGCAACCGTCCTCCGGCTCGGCCAGCCGCACACCCCCCGGGAGGCACGGCGGTACGGCCGCAGAAAGCGTCACCGTGTCCGCCGCGGGGAGGTTGCGAAGGGTGAAGAACTTCGACACCTTCGACACCTTCGACGACGTCGCTGCACCGCCGTGCTGCATCGTATGTACCGGCACGTGAGGGGGGTGGGTGGTTCTACAATTCAAAGGAGGGAGATGTCCCGGTTTTTAGGGGAAGTGCCCGGGCGTAAATGTTGAGACAGATCAAATACGTGCTTTCCCGTTTATTGTTGATCGAGCAAATTAAGAATGAACTTGAGAGAACGAAGTCACGGGGGAGATAGGAGGAGTGGAAAGGCGAAGGAGGAAATGCATCCTTGAGTTCCGTTGTGTTTCATAGCAGACACGTGGGCAACGACTACAGCAAGCAAACAGCTAATGATAACAATGGAACTGCTGTAGCGCCGACAGCAGTTGCCAACTTGGCCGTTACTACTCTGGCAGAAGCAGGCAACATCGATTACATGACTGGTTACCTTTGGCCTCTTCTTTCGTGAAGCACTGATGCGCACGTTAACAGCTCACCTGCTCTTCATACAATAATAGTAGTGAAAGGCCTAGTGCACAGCTTTCGTTGTAGTTTGTTTCGCTTTGCGGTCCAGTTCTGCTTTATAGCAGCGATGATTGTAAGTACCATGGCAGCACAGGACAACAACACAGTGTGCACATTTGTGCGGAGGATCTCCAAATCCGTCTGCGGAATGAGGTTAATATACATCCAGGTGACAGTGGCGGCCACCGCGGAAAAGAAAAAATAAAAGGGCTCTTCCGTTTCTATTGTTTTCCTTTTCGATTTTCCCCTTTTCATTGTGATAAGACACATATTCAAACGCACCAAGTCGCATTAGACTCAACCGCTTCCCAAGCTTTTTCACCTCAAGTCAAGAACGGCTCCTTTCGGACTGGCAGCCTTCACTGACCTTCCCGACCGCGCTGATACGCCTCAAAACTGAGATCGAGTCTCAGTTTGATGTTCGTGTTGTGCACCCGCATCTCCTGCAGGCGCAGACACGTTTGGTCAATTTCATGTCGGATGGCGTCGTCGCTTGTGAGGGTGGCTGACAGCGGGCGAGAGCCTTCTGCCGGCATTTTGCCTTGTGCACCGGCAACTGTGTCGTGCTGCTCCGCTGTTTCTCCAATTGGAGGCAGCGCTGAGGGCGGCGGTGGCGACGGCTGGAGCGACACCACAGGTGAAGCGCCGGACGGTGGTGTAAAAGAGGTAAGAGAAGGATACGAAGAGGGCGACCGCGGCAGAGAAGATGTGAGGCCTTGCAACACGCTGGGCGGCTGCTTCTCTGCCCTCTTCAACGGAGGCGGTCGACGGGCACCTACTGGCGCCTTTTTTCCCCGCGGCATCACCGGCACTGTGAAGGCGAGTTGTTCCTCGCCGCACTCCGCCGAACTCGTCTCTGGGCTATCGAAGGCCGAGCCTGGGACGGCGCGCTGCGTGACGCTGAATATCTCAAAGTCGTCCGCTATGTCTTTCCGCTTCAGGCAGTTTAGTTTTATGGTGGTCTGGCGCAGCTGATCAAGTCCGGATGAGACACTTGCCGCGGCCTGCAGCTCCGGCAACGGTGTCAGAGGCGGCGTTGTGTGTTTGGCGGGCCGTTTCTTCGCTGCAGCTGCGTTTGAGCCGTTCGATCCAGCAAGAGGCGGCCGCTGCGGTCGTTTGACGCCAGCGGGTGCCGCCTTCACGTTGTGCCGCTGCGCCGCAGGTGCCGACTCCTCATCGCGCACATCAGCTTTATCACGGAGTAGCTGCAGCGCCTTGTCCTTCATGTGTGTCAGACGAAGAAACGCGTCCTTTGCCCGTGCATTTGGATTCTTGTCGGGGTGGACGCACACGGCTAAGCGCTGAAACGACTTCTGGACGTCCTCGGCACTGCTGCGCAGCAGCACCTCTGGGGGGACGGTGGGGTCCAAGAGCGCCTCGCAGATGTCGTCATAGCGAAACGGCAACGGTACATTTTGCGGGTTCGACAGCACTCGACAGATGCGCGCCATACGATTGTACTTCGTCGGGTTCAGCTTTTCCAGTGAGTTGTACAGAGAGGACGCATTCGCGACGTCGCCGTTGCTCAGATAGTTGCCCGCAAGACGGTCCATGTGTAGCTGTGCATAGTGGTATGCGTGTGCTTGCCGATTATCTTTCTCTCTCTACTTCTGTACGCTGAGCTACAAGTTTGATGGCGTGTCTCAACCTTTCCTTTAGCTCGATAAGACGTCGGCCTGTAGTTGGATGGAAGATGAACCACGTGATGACGCAAACAACGTCCACAGAGACAGCCACATTCCATGAAGAAACAGAAAACAAAACATGAAGGGAGGAAATGCACGACAAGAGGAGGTTGATAACAGGAGATCGAATATTCGCACTCTGGTACGCTTACACGTTAGAGAGAACGAACACGTGCTTGATTAGGCTCCTTCGTTTTTTTTTTTGAATCTCTTGAACTCCGGAGCATAACGAAGAGTTCCATACCGCAGCTTTCCTTCGTTTTCCCCACCACATAGTGAAGCCAGCTCCTAGTAAAAAGGTATAGAGAAAGAGACTTGACAGCTCACCTATAACGGGATGGCTGTCACACCCCTGTGCGTATCGAAGACGCTCAGCCACTTACCGTTGCCAAAGTATACACTTCTTCTTTTCATGACGAGTTAGTACTGCAACTGTGATGCGTTTATTTTCAATAAACTTAGAACCAGCTTCCTGTGCGATCGAACTGCTTACGAAGGTCGGCCGCGTCCTGGGAGTCCTTGCCGTACCGTGTGCCGTCCTTCTTCAACACACCGACCACAATAAACGGATAGGTGTTTGCCGTTTTCACGCCATCGCTGAGGCGCACTTCGAATACCGGATACTCCAGCTGTTTCTCCCATTCAAACTCTTTACCCATTCGCTCACGAAATTCGCAACGATACGTGATTTGCAGCCAGTCATCCTGTGACATCTGACCCATATAGCACGTGACTAAGTCAAAAGAGTCCACCTCGATTTCGTAGGTACTCTGCGACCCGTGCTGCTTCAACGACTTCCAGCTCTTCTTGGTAAATTCGTCATTCATGCGACCCTTGATTTCCTTGAGGATGCGGTCCGCCTCGCCGTGGGTGGTGATGCGCTGCAGCGTCTTGAAGCAATCCTGACTCTTCTCGTGGGAGAGCGTCTTGAATTGAATGAAGAGCTGCTTCAGGTGCGCAAGGTCGAAGTCAGGGCGACGGTCGGTCAACTTCCGCATTGTCACAAAGCGCCTGAAAGCCTTTTTCATACCCGCAAGGGAAGTGTAGCGGATGGGCGTGATGTCGGGGTCCATGATGCAGTCCATCGATGCAAACCGCATCTGCTTCATCCACTGCTCCTTGTCAAAGTCGTAGTCGGTGCGCTTCTGCGAGGCCGTCTGGCTCTCCATTTCCCAGCGGGTCTGCACACTGCGGTTCATGTTCACGTGGCGCTGCTGCGTAACGATGACGGACGGTGCGAGGTGCGCCTTGAGCGACGCGTGCCGCATCGGGGCGACGAGTTGACGAAGCATCCTAATCAATTTTTACCGAAAAGAGACACGCGTGCGACGCGAAAGAAAGGAAAGAAACAACAACAAGGAATAAGACCGGTGGTGGAGGTGTGGTGTAGAAACTGCCCTGAGAAAAGAAGAGCAAGAGGAGCCCCGATACCCTAAATGGGTGACACACACAAGATGCAACGACTGCGTAAAACGCAACCCGCCCTTTTCTTCCTCTCCCTTGTCCCTGCTCCCTGTAGAGCGTGAGTAATGGGGAAAAGAAAGTGTGCTAGGAATGTGCGCTGGCACGGGTAGTATATGTGCTTTGAAGACGATTTCGAAGGAGAGTTAGCGAGAAGGAGGAGGCGTAAAAGCAACGTGTCAATGATGAAGATCGCAGGGGCTACCGCGGCACTTTCGCATCAAGGGCGCAAACCAATCGACACGCAGGAAAAAAAACCCCAACAGAAAAGGGCGATCCGAGGAAGTGGAGCTTTGTGGGAGAGGCCAAGTCGATGGAGCGCGCAGGAGGATCAACGCGGCACATTCAAAAGGTTGAACGATAGATGCACCTAATTGAGTTAGACATGTTTTCTTTTTGTTGTTAGAAATGCAGGTGGGAGAGAACACGCGCATACAATCAGAAAAAGCGGAAAAGCGGTTGCGTTGATCAATGATTCACTAGATAAAAACAAGAAGCGAAGGCTTTATATTATAACGCAGGGAGGCAAGCGATCAGAGCACCGGAAGCGAAGAGGGAAGAGACGACATCCGTGTCGTGAAACAAGAACAACAGCAAAACACACAAACTTGGCACACACATATGTCTTCAATCACATTCAGCAATAGCAACATTAAAAAACCTTCCAAAAAAATAAGAGGGCAAAACAGTGCAAACGAAAAACAAGCAGGAAAAGAGCAGCCGCAAAAAGCGTCAGTCGCTGCTGTCTCTCTTTGGGAAAAGCACCTGAAAGAGGTTCGTGAAGAAACTCCCACGTCCGCGTGTGCGCGCGGGAACACCCTTCATAAACTCACGATGAAGAAGACCCATGCGTATCAGGCGCAGATTGTGCGCGAGGTAGCCCGCAAAAATCATGCAGAGCACGAGCGTCACCGCTAATGTGAAAGAGAACAACACGTACCGCAGTGTACTTTCACTCGGCGTCACGGCCGCCAGAAAATAAATGAGGAACAGTGAAATGGCTACATTATACCCCGTTATCGCACAGAGGAAGAGAAGGAAGTATCGGCGGTTCAGCTCGCCTATGCAGCAGCCCAGCATGCGACAGTGGTGGTCGAACTGTGCAACGCAGTTGTTGCAGCGTCGACAGTGCCCTGCCAGCGAAGGACGGTGGATCTGACACATCATGCAAAATTGAAGGGTGCTGCAGTACTCACTCACAGGACTGCTGGAGAAGGAGGACAAGGCGCTGCCCTTGGGAACAATGCCGGGGTTCGTCAGTGACGTGAGCAGGAGGAAGACGCTGCAGATTAGCGCCAACAGAAGGACGACAATATCAGGGAGCTGCGTCATCAACTGACTGTGAAGTAGATTTGGATCGGTGAAGCGTATGGAACCCCAGAGCAACACAAACACTGCTGTGCCTGTAGCGAGAGCCATTAGTGCCAAAATCCAATGCGACGCCTGTGGAGACCAGAACAAGCGTCCCTTGAAAAACGGCCGCAAGTTGCCAAAGGGAGGAACCTCCACGGACCTGCTCCCACCACCCACGCTCACCTGATCATCGTCGGAGGAGACGAGTTCAAAGTCACTCATAGCGACAGCAAATACAAAAAGGACAAGAGGAAGAATTCACGTTAGTCTCGACGCGTACGTCTTTCGACACCCCAAAAGTACGCTGCACCACTTCTTTGAAGTGAAAGTGGAATGGTTCTTTTGATTACGTCCAATTTATGTACTTTTGCAGCACTGCAGCCGTAGTGGAAGCGACCACAGATGTCAAAACAGAAAACAAGCAAAGGGTCGAGTTGAAGGAAAGTGGAAGAGAAGCTTAAACTGCTCAGTAGAAGAGAAACCAGCGCGAACTACAGGAAATACTGAGCAGTTCAATAGATGTCAAGATGACTAATAACACGTACGTTGATCATCTTCTTTGTTTTTGGAATGTACAAGACTAACGTTGTGTGATTTAAAGAAAATGCAATTTTTCGGGACCCTAGCAGCTACGGATGAAATGCAGCCTCTGCGAGCCACTGTAGAACATCCCCGATGCCCACGCCGTTCCACGAGTCTGCCTCCACAGCACACAGCGCCTCCCGCCTCTTCCCGTCTGCGAAGTAGTCTTTCACTTCTTCTTGCGTCATCGCATCGGCGCTCGCGCACTTCTGCAGCACGACAAGAGCACGCCAGCCCGCACACGTTGCCTCGCTACCCTCCGTCAAGTAGCGAAACACGGTGGACGCCAGTGGCAGCTGGTGAGGGGCAGCGGCGTCCACGACGTATAGAAGGAAAAACTTCGTTTTCACCGCCGCGGTCTTTTTAATCTTGCGAGAGACGATGAAGCTCTCCCAGGTGTTCACCACCGAGCCGCCGAGCTCGCGCAGCTCCATCGTCGCCCGCTTTCCTCCGCTGGCGGACACGGTGAGGGCGGAAACTTCCTGCCCCATTGTTGGCGCGCACTTCGTGGGAACGGAGAGAAGCTTGCCTTTGCTGAGGTACTCGAGTTGCCTCACCAGGTCCGTCTTCCCGCTGCTCTCCGCCCCCAAAACATACACGACAATCTGTGGCATTTGAAAAGTCTCCTTCTCCCTTTTTCCTAGCTAGAAAAAATCGTACGAACGGGTTAAACCAAGCTTCCGCAACTGAGGCGCAGAGGACAAAGTTAAGGTGGGATGCGACAAGATTGTATTGCGGGAGACGCGCAGCGAGCGATAGAAAAGAGGGGCAGAACAGCAGAAAGGCTGGCGTGATGGTAGCGGCATAAAGGCGCGGAGTGAAGTTGAGCGACACCGCATGCGCCGGCAGGAGAATCACTGAAAGCAGTGCGTCAACTCTGCCGAGCACACAAACTCCCCTTTTCGCATCCATACGCGACAGCGACAACTAAAAGGCTGGCATCTCAAAACGTTCGAAGAGAGAGGGACAGACCTGCAGCGTCGCCGTGCTTGCTGCCGACACGCGGAAAGCGACAACCTGTGGTTATTCCCTTGTTGCCTGATAAGTTGCAAAGCAGACGTGGTCAGAGTACATGTACATTTATATATGTGTGGCTGCAGAGAATCGAGACACTAAGCCACAGAGCAAACGACACGCGCAAAGTGTTTGGACAGGTTCTGCAACAGAAAATTTCAAGACTGGCATGCTCATCTCGCAGTGTTGCGCGCAAAGGAATAGCGCTTCTCTCTTTTTCTGTCCACGCCGTCTGCCTCATCCTTTATTCTGGCTGCGGCGGCTCGCAGCGACGCAACACGTGGAGATGGCGTCTTCATAGAAGACTTCGTCCCTGGGGGCGCTGCATGAACAGAGGTGCGCAAGACAAAAGGTGCGGCTGGTGTGCTGCGTGGGGGAACAGTGGAAGTCTTCGCTGCAGCCGGAGGAGCGGAGGCAAAACCGGGAAGAGGCGGAGACCAAGCGTCCGGTCCACCAGACGGTTGGGAAGCCCCGGCCGTTGTCACCGATTGCTGCGGCGGTGGCAGTCGTTGGTGGTGCACGACATGGGTCGAAGGCTGCGCGGGTTCTTTACAGGTGATAAGATTGCCTCGATCATCCAACGAAAAGTACTCCGACCGACGCGGTGACGGCGGTGGTGGTGGCGGGGATGACGAGAAGAGAGTGGCGGCGTCATCGCGGGTCGCCGTCGTGCCGGCACGGAAGTACTCAAACTTCGCTGCTGCCTCCTCGTCGGGCTGCAACGCGTGCAGCTGAACTTCCAAAGTGGCGAAGAGCTTGTTTTGCAAGACTTCTTCAGGAACGGCCGCGCTTGGTGAAGCAGTCGAGTTGGGGTGCAGTGACTCCATCTGTCGCCGCTTGTACTCCTTCACACGCTCGGCTGCTGCATATTGGGCTTTGTTGATCTCATTCAAGTGAGCACCATACGTGCGATCTACGTATTGCTGCGCGCTGCGTAGCAGCACATGTACTTCGTCCGATTCCAACTCCGCCACCTCCATCGCCTCAAAGAGCAATCCAGGCGTGAGCTGCAGGATAATGGAACTACTCTGGGACACGACGGCGTCGCACGCTCTCACTTTAACAAGTGATTCGCAGAAAAAAAGCACTTGCCCAGGCAGCAGCTGCTTTGTATCGCGTTCCACACTGCGGTGCAGGCGGACATCTCCGGCAACAATAAGGATGCCAAAAGCTGGTATGCGGCCGACAGGTACCACAGTTTCGCCAGGGGTGTACACACGTAAATGAAGCGCGCCGGCGATGGCGACAACTGCCATCTCCGACAGGTCTGAAAAGCACGCGTAGGCCCGCAGCGCGGTTGTGAGCGGCAGCCGACCGACTCCCTGCGTTCTCAGAAGCTGTGTTGCGGCCAACGTACACTGCAGCCTTGACGCCGCGTTACAGGTTGACAGCATGACGGAGATGGGCAGGCCCCACATCTCGCAGTATACTGCAGCTGTGGCATGCGACCTTTGATCGAAGTAGTCCGGCACGCACGACTGGACAAACGCATGCATGCCGATGACGGTGAAGGGCTGTTCCACAATGCGAAGGTGGGCACCGTTGCTGTCCTCAATGCGCACCAGTCCGCTGTCCAAAAAGTACATCCACTCCGCCGCAAAAACGTTGCCGCAGATAATCTCCGACTTCAAAAAGACAAACGGCTTTAACTGATGGCAGATTGTCTTGAGTACCGTCATGGGAAGCGCCGCGAGTACGGGATTGACTGACATAATCGAGGTGGCCGGCGGGGCACCGGAGAACTGTGCCATGCTGCGTTGAACGTACAGACGAGCGGCGTCAACGGTGGCACTGCGTGCCGCACTGGGCAGCGTCTGAATCTCGCGCAGACAGGCCGCCAGCGAGAGGCGCAGCACCACCACCTCGCTTTGGCACCGAAGCGCGCGGAGCCGCTCGCCGCCTAAAATGAGTCGTTCCACATCCACGAGTTGACCCGCATTGTAAAAACTGAGCGAGTCGGCCAACTGCTCCTGCGCTGGAGTGAGCGGTGGCAGCGATTTCTTCGCGTTGCCTTCCATAAAATGAGAAGGGAGGATGAGGGGTCCGGTCTTCGGGAGGTTTCGTGGGAGATGGACAAAGTCGGTGGCGCAGCGACGCAGTTCCGCTTTGTTTGGAACCTGTGTTAGCTTACCGGCTAACAGCCAGAAGACGTCGGCAGATCTGCGCGGCTCATTTTGGAAGGCGATTGTTGTGCCTTTCGCGTGTATCTCCATGACACCGCTCTCTGTCCATTTTTGCAACGCAATTGTTGGCCACTTGGCGAAGAGCGGCAGCGACTTGAGGACTTCCGAGTTGGGCGGCTTGACTTTCTGCCTCGCTCCTTTTTCACGACGAGCTCTGGCGACGTACAGGGCCACCATCGGCGCGAACAGACGCCGAAGCACGTGTAGACCTTTCACTCGCAGTACATCGTGCTTCATACCTGACATGTGTAGTGACTCATACGTCCACACACACACAGAGGCGTGCCTACACACACGCGCGTCACAAGAGGAGGGAGGTTGACTTGGTTTAAAGAACTAATAATACACAGCGTTGGGTGTACTTAAGAGCGAAAAGAAGGAAGCGGAAAGCAGAGAACGCAGAAATCGACTCATGGAAAGCGTTGTTTGTTCCTAACTGGCAAAATAGACTACTTATCAGCGTAGGCGCAACGCACATCTGTCACTCCCTTTTTTCTTTTTAGAAAAGCCATGAGGTTATTGAGTCTCCTTGACTCTTTACTGTAACACCCACGGCCGGTCGTGATGCACCCCACGTAACAACTTAATACCTTGGCTGTAAAGCCGCTCAAAGATCGGTTGATGACTTACAATAACGATTTTTGCCGCTAGTTGAATACACATCTTTCGGTGTACAGTTAAGGAAATGAAGCTCTAGCGCTGAAATAACGGTTTGATCCTACAGCGTGAAGCACGGTGGAACAACATGAACTATGGACCTCTCGTTCTCAATACCGTCAATGGTGATAGTAAAGGAAGCATACGTTGTAAGGTTTCACAATAGAAATCCTCGTATATCACACAAGTTGAAGCTCCCAAGCTGGTGAGAGGATGAGAAAGCTAGATGCACGTTCAGCGCCCACACAGGTAACTTTATTACAACCACGACTGGTAGGGAACAACCCCCCAAGAAGAAAAAAACAAAAACACATACCAAAAATAAAACGCACAAATCACGTGGTTCAGTAAGTTGTGAAGACCAGAACCAAGAACGAAGAAGAAGAGAAGAAAACAAAAAGCGATGAACAACTACTCACAAATCTAATGCCTTTGACTCTTATGAGGAGACACGACGTTAAAAAACAGAGGAACAAGTAGCAAAGACCAGAAAAAAAAGATATACTGGGGGATGGGGAGAAGAGGAAATGGGGAGATAGATGTCGGCCACTCTGCAGAAGAGAGAAAAATTGAAAGCACGGAGCCAAAAAAAAGTATATATATATATATATATATGTGCTTCATTTAGTCAAACAAAGGAGTAGGAGAAAAAACACACACATACATATATACTTTATTCAACGGTTTCGCGTACATGTTCCTGATAACGATACACGTTAAGTAAAGCTGGCAGTGCACCCGCGAGCTGTGTTGCCTTTAGCTTGCGCCAAAACTCACGGCGCTCTTCGTCTTGCTCGCTCTCCGTACAGTCTTCTAATTCGTGTACCATCGCTGAGCGACTTATGCGCTCGTGCAGAATGGACCGGAACAGCGCAACTTTCCGCGTCTGTGAGCGCAAGATCGACCTGTTCTCCGTGACGGATATCAAGCGGTACACTGTCACCGGTTTCGTTTGGTTTCGGCGGTAGGCCCGCCCTATAGCCTGGGCATCGACCTGAGGATTCCACCACGAATCAAACAATACGACGTGGTTTGCCGCGGTGAAGTCCAGCCCGTAGGCCGCGATTTTGGTGGAAAGCACGAGAACCATCAGATTATCGTTTGACATAAACTCGTGAATGGCACGACGGCGACGGTCCTGTGAGTCGCGGCCGCGGACCGTGAAGGTGGTCACGCGCAGCGCAGTCAAAGTTCGATGAATCAAATCCTGTGACCCGATGTGGAGCGAGAAGACGATCAGCTTCTCCCCCTTCGCTTGCACGCGCATGACAATATCCACCAGCACTCGCATCTTTCCGCTGAGATTGATGAAGCTGTCCAGCTGCTCGTGATCCACCATTTGCACAAACTGCTGCAGGCGCATGGTGTCGATCTCGTCCAGGTTCGTCTCGAGTACCTTCACAACACGGTTGGGCGGGCGGTCCGAGAGATCACCTGCCATCGAGCGATAAACTTTTTCTATGTGCGCGAGGTAGCATGCCGGGTGCGTGGAGAGGTGAGCTGGGCGGAAATCCACCGCATTAAGCGATTTCGTTGACGTCTCGGAGAGACCAATTTTCCTTTCGTACTCTCTCTGCAGATCTGAGGAACCGCACACCAGCAGGTAGTCGTGTAGAGGTGGCAGGTCGTTTTCCATCTCTCGAAAAACAAAGCCGCGCATCCACTCTTGGACGTATTCCAGGGCCGTGGCCGCGGCGCTGAACGCGCTGTCGTCGCCTTCGATGAAACGATTGATGACATTTTGTAGTTCCTGAAAGCGTTTCAATGGCATCACGTCCCCCATTCTAGGTTCCACAAAGTTCACCAGATCGTAGAGCTCCGTCGCGCTGTTTTGCAAGGGAGTGCCGGAGAGCGCAATATGAAGACTGCATTTAAGGTCTTTCAGCGACTTAACGAGCTTGCTTTCCTTTGAGGCGAGTCGATGTCCCTCATCGACGATGATAATCGACGGCCAGAACCCTTTTACACGATTCAGGAAATTGCCCAAATACTCCACGTTAATCACAAAAACGTGGCCGAACCTCGACTTCTCCCTTTCTTTCTGCTTCTTGTACGCCAAAAGCTGCTCCTCAAACGAGAGAGACATGGGATTCTCGGAAGTAACGAAGTGGGAGAAGTGGAGGCCGAACGAAGCCCACTTGTTCTTTTCCTCGATCCAGTGATCAAGAATCGCCTTTGGCGTGACAATGAGAATGTCGTTCTTCGGGGCGAGATACAGGTGAGAGAAGCACACGACGAGTGCGACGAGCGTCTTGCCGAGTCCCATGGTCATCGCCACCACACAGCCGCTCTGCCGTACTCCCCGTTCGACAATGAAGCTAATTGCGGCAAGCTGCACCGGTGCCAGCTGACTAACAAGTCGGGTCGGAACAAAGAGGGATGGAAGGCTGGGGTCACCGGCATTGATGTTCATTGCAGCCTGCCGAACGGCGGCGTTGTTCAGCTGCTGCAAGATGAGGCGATTGAGGTGCTTCCGCCGCTCCATCTCACACACCGCGGACATGAGACCGGTGCGCAGGTAGCACACGATACTCGTGCGCTTCCAGCCGGCTTCGGGGTTTTCCACCTCCGTGTTGCCGTGCTCGAGTGCTGTGTTGAAAAGAAGCACATCGCCCATTTGGAGCCGAAATGCTTTGTGGATCTTCTTGATCGCCAGGTGGCAGCCCTCGAATTCGCCGTTGATGACAGCGAGTACCCCCAACCCACTGCGGAAGTCTCCCTTATCGGTGTGCACCGCTGTGCGAAAGTCGCGGTTTACGGTAACCGTGCTGAACACCGTTCCAGAGAGCTGGTACTGCGTTGGGATGGCCGCCTTTTGCAGGTGGTGGTGCATCGGTGCCATTTGGCTGTAGAGCCTGTCGAGGTGCTTGAATAGAGGCTCGCAGCTCGACATGTCGCCCCAGTGTCGGCGGCTGAATTCGGTTTCACGACACTTGCGCTGCGTGGGGTTGTTAAGGTAGTCGTAGCTGCCCACAATGCCCGTGTTGGGCGGGACGCCGCCGTTCGTCGCGGCTCGCAGGTTTTTTTTTGTCGCCGCCGGCTCCAACACCTTTGCTGCCGCCTCGCACATGGCCTGCGGGATACTACCAGGGAGGTACACCGCCGCCACCTGCTTGTCGGCGCCGTCGCAGTCGAAAAAAATGGCCGTCTTGGTCACCAGATCGAAACCGTCCATGGTGAGGTATTCCGCCGTGGAGCCGCGGACGGCGTCGACTGTCTCCTCACCGGTGAGGTCTTCCAGCTGCTCGTCTTCGCCCCCGCCTTCATCCTCGTTGACTTCGTCTTCAACGGCGCTGCCGTGGAAAAGACGGTCGGGAGCGACGGGAGAGCGTAAGACCGTGTCGGCATGAGATGCCACGAGGTGCTGAAGCAATGGGGGTGGAGTGACGGGCTTGTTCTCCATGACTCTCTCGACGTCTTCCTGTGCATGCATGCGAGACTGAGAAAAGGTGTCCTCAGCGTCCGCCTGCGGTACAACCTCTGTTGTGCCACGAAATACGCAGCGCAGATAGGAGCAAATCTCTTTCACCGGCGAAATATGTAGAAAGGGGCACCGTTCGGGCAGCGAGGGCAGTTCATTGTCTGGTGCCTGCACGTAGTAGAAGCAGAATTGGATGATGCGGCTCACGTACTCGGCAGGGTGGTACAGCGGTTTCTCGTTCGATATATACCGATAAAAGAGCGGGAAGTGCTGCAGATACAGTTTTCCGCGAATTTCCGCCTTTTCGTCCTCGTGGCAGAAGCAGTACTGCTGACACAGGTTTAAGAGATCGGCATCGTCGAGCGGGATGGCAGGGAGAATGGTGTAACCGCCTCTCGGGATCCCCGCGATGCGCAGCTGACGTCGCAGGGTCTCATTCGTGATGGTCTCCAGATCGCCGATGCTTGACGAGGGAAAGACAATGGCAACTTCACCGGTCGTTTGCACAACGTCGAGAGTCGCCATCAACTCCGAAGTGGGTCCAGCACGTGTGAGGTCGCGCAACATGCTTTGTAGCTGCGTTGCGCGTGTTCGAAGAACGGAAGGGAATAACAACGACGACAACAAAAGGCACCACTACACTTATGCAAAACAATAACATGTTGATAGTTAAGTGCGTTAAATATTGCAGATCAAAAAGAAAAAAGTGAAGGCAACGTGGAATGAGTTGAAGAGGAAGAAAACTTACACAGAACTAGGCGAGCGCGTGAGGGGAAGATTGAACCCGCTCCAAAACAAACTTTTCGTTTTGTGCATGCCCATCTGACCGCTGCGTCCATTCGTTTCTGACCTCTGTTCTGCTTCCATCACGAAACGCAAAACAGAAAGCGCTCTTTTAACATTAGTGAAGTGAGTCGATTGCGAAAGTAGTTCGGCATCTCGCTGATCCTTCACAACCTGATGCTTTTGCGCATTTAAGAAAGAAGTTTGTTTTTACTGTTAATAGTACAAATGCCCAACGGCAAGCACACCTTGACACTTAATTTAGAACAATGTGAGGAGATAGGAGAAAAATACAAGGCCGTTCTGGAGAAGAGTGCGAAGCAAATTCAACCAAAACGGTGAACTATGAGCGAGACACTGTGCTACCAGTCAGACCTTCACGCTCAAGGGAGGACGTAAACGTCGTCTCGTCTCCCATCTTGACCAGAAAGGATGTATTGAAATCAATCTGCGCGCCTCCATCCGGTGTGCGGAAGACATCATTGTGCATGCTGTTGAAAGTCTGCTGCACATCGGCGCTCTTCCCAACCTCGGTGGTGTCGTCAAAGAGAGAGGAAGACGGACTCCATTGAGAGCGCGAAGGTGCCGCTGGTGGAGCGGGCTCCGATGCGCAACTGCCTTTGCCCACCGGCTGGGGCACACTTTGTAGAATTGCGCGACGCATACTACCGTCTGCTGCTTCGATTTGAAAGGTCGTCTCTGCACTTTCCGTCTTTTCGCTCCTTTTCCTCCGTCGCTTCTCGCCGTGTTCCTTTTCGGGGGTCTGGTTGGCGCTGGTAAGATAAAGCACGCCATTCTTGCAATAGTGCCAGAGCATTGGCCCGAATTGGATCAGGATCAAAAGGGTCATGAAATTCGCAAAGATGAAGCTTGCCGCTTTGACCAAATGCGTTTGCCACTGCTCTGCAGATTTGCGCTTCCATCGTCCAAAAGTAGACTCACTAGCACCTCTCCCGGCACCTTGTCCGGCCGTGCTCGCTCCACGAGCCGCATTTTCGCCCGCCTTCTCAAAAGCGGAATAAACACTTTTCTTCGCCTTCTGAAACGTTGAATGTGCCACCACCCGCTGGCTCGCATTTTTGATTGCCTTCTGAAACTGCGGATGACGCGCTAGGTACGTCATTAATTGCCGCTGCAGCGGCCCCCAAGGAACCATTTTCTCTGGCGAGTACCGAGCCGAGAGAAAGAAAAAAAGAAGAAGCTTTGTACGCTTAAAAATTGGCCGAGAAAGAGAAAAGAAATCAATAGAGAAGGCAAAAAAGATGGGAGAGAGATGTATTACGCAGCTGAAGCAACAACGGTAACAAACAACGCAATAACATGCCTCTAGAGGCGCCGGAACCTACGGCAGAGAGATCTTTTGAAGATGAGGAGCGGTCTGCTGCCACATCGTTGCTGAATCGCCAGCGAGTGAAGCAAATCCATGATGATAATACTCCTGTGCCGTGTCTTATATTGCCTTGCAACCCGTTTTGCGTGTTCGCAAAGAAATCATGAGAGGGAAGGAATTTCAAGCATAACTGGTGTTTGATGCATTTCCGTAACTGATTCACAACACTTTGTGTAGCTCTATAAGTAGCAGCAAAGCACGAAATGTACGTATTTTTTCATTCACACGAGCGCGCTAATGCGCCATGATGTGAATGTAGTCGTTAAGCAGCGTGCGGAAGTTACTCACCGCGTCGTTTATAAGGCTTTTGTAATGCTCAGTGGCTTCATCGTCGGTACGATTGATCAGCAGAACTGTTCGCAGCCACTCAATGTCGTCTAATGTCTGCAGTTCCGGAATGCCTGTCGAGAGCATCAACATGAAGAGCATGATGAGTGCGTTGCTGTGCCGGCGAAGCGCATTGTAGGCTTGACAGGCAAGGTCAACAAAGTATTTGTAGATGGGACTGTTTGCACCCCCCATCGCGTACAGGTACATCGGGGTGAAAATGAAAGGTGCGGTTTCACGTTTGATGCCGAACTTGGTCTTGAAGTTGCCTAGAAAATGACCGAAATCAATGTGGAACAAAGTACCGTCTTGACGGAGCATAATGTTGTCGTTGTGGCGGTCGCCGATGCCTAACACATATGTGGCAACGGTGTATCCCGCGACGCTGAAGACGAAATTCCACAAGCATCTTTCAACTTCGTTGCGCTCGCAGTTAAACTGCCGCAACCAGTTGATCAGCGGCTCCTCACTGAAGGCTGCTTGTGCGCCACCTTCGTGTCGGGTAATGTTGGCAATAGTGTCGCTGTTGAGCACGACTTCGATCATTCCAACGCCTTCTCCTGTTGAGATGCAACCGTACGGGATGAGGTGCAGGTCTAATCCGGCTGCTTTCCATAAGGAGTCCATCAGCTCCAGCAATTGCAAAGTAAGCAAGTCTTGACGCAGGTCGTCGCCGGTCTTGAAAATGACGAAAAATTGATCATCTTGGTCCAGGTAGTTGCGAAACACGAGCCAGAAAGGAAACTTTTTAGAATCCATCACCTTGCACTGCTTTATCTCCACTGCGCAGCACTCCATGGACGGGTTGAGCGCAAGAGTGAAACGGTGAGGAAAGCGAATTTGAGAAAGAGCTTCGTGTAGACACTTCACTCGATCCTTTTTCTGCGCGCGCTGAACTTTCAATGCACACTGGAGCAGTTCCTGGCAAACATACACTTGCCGTAAATAATTCCACCGATGCGGGGAGCGCTTGATCAGCTCCTCTATAAGGAGACCGTGCCGTTCACAGATGCTCAGGTTCTTCACTTCGGCGGAAAGGTACCAAAAGACGTAATGGCCGATGATGTGATTCGATCGAAGGGAGCGTCGCAGCAGAAAGCGAGCGAGGGCGGAATAATGGTACGGCTCATATTTAAGCACCTGGACAAGCTGCAAAATGCAGCCTCGAAGCTCGTAATCCGACATGTTTCCAACAGACTCGATCGCCAATTCGCGAACAACCGAGTCGGCGTACCTGGCATCAAGCAATTCAAGCGCGTCAAATGCCGGTAGCGGACACCACCGATGCAGAAGGCAGTGCGCCTCGTACACATCGAAGGGCTTCAGCCAGTCCACAGCACTGAACAATTTCGCCATTGCCTTCGGGCGATTGAGCAGTATTTCCCGATATTTCCACAAGATTGTCCGATCATCGGCGGTGAGGTGGACAAGAGGATCGTACTCAAGTACTCGCTTCAGCTGTCGCAACTGCTCGATTTCATTGTGCGCGAGGTGCCCACTCAGCCGGCTCTCTCGCTCCGCTAGGCTCTTACGCGCGCACTCCTCTTTGTTCCGCGGAGGACGACCGCTGGGAAAAACAACCGGCTTACTAAAGGTAGGGAACTCAACTCCAAACGTGCACGCGCCGGCATCGGGATTGTTGGAATTGAAGCCGATTGGGTTGGCACGGGTCTTGCCGTCCCATAGAAAAATGTGTCCCATACCCATGCGCATTTTTGCTGCGTAGTCGAATAATTGGGTGGCTGCCGTTCCAAGAAAAAAAACTGTATGTCCTTGTTCCTCCGTTTTCTTGGATGTTTCCTCCGCGGCTGCGATGATTTCCTCCGCGGATGCGTCGCGCACTGTGCCAATTCTTTCGACTGAGGTGGCCACGAGTGTGAAGCAGAGTTTCAGCTCCCTGGGGACATTCGACAGATCGACACTAAACGCCACTTGCCCTCCTTCCTTCCAACAGACTTTCGAAGGAATGCCGTCGATCGACTTCGATTCGTCGCGGAGCTGCCATTTCGTGATCTGCGGCTCACAGCACCGCAACGTTCCAAAGTAAGCCTCGATAAGAACTGCCAGGTACAGTTTGGAGGAGTCGCGCACGCTTTCCTCCTTCATTCGACTGGGCGAGATGATAAGCTTTTCAAAACCACCCACCACTCGAAGCGACAGCTTCTGCGCCGTATTCCAGAGACTGATCTCGGGCGCCCCAGGCTTGCAAAGCTCTGAATGCCGTCGATTCGGCAGCGCGTGCGACGGATAGCTAGGACGGAAAAGCGGTGCGATAAGCAGCATCGCGTCTTTTGGTTCGACAATGATGTGTATTTCCTTTTGCTTGCTCACGCAATCGCGAATGTAGCGAAAATTGATCAAGTGCTGTGAGCCGTAGATATATTCGTTCCTTCCCTTCACGCGAAACACAAAAACCATGTCCGAGTCATCCTTTTTGGATTTGAGTTTGGTAAAGGCGAGTAGGCGGCTCATTGTCAGCTGAATTGCGTCGTCCGCGACGGTGTCGAATGTGAACTCACGCATGGTAGAGCACGTACAGCCCGCTAAATCGACGTACCACAGCTGCATGCGGACACACCCATACCGAGCAGCAGTCTTGTTTGAGCTTAATTGAATGAGAAGATCTAGCTGAGCCTTTTGCAAAGGCGGGACGCAAAACATCTGAGGAAGACTTCGCATGGCAAAGTTTTCGGGGATGGTTGGGTTTACGGCTTGGAACAATTTCCATTCATCCATGTATGCCTTGTCGATGAGTCGCTGAAACTCTCGCACCTCTTCGCAGTTGCTGTTCCACGTATGTGGGGGTCCTGCAATGTACTCCAACACCGCATCAATGTCCCGCGGTGACGCCGCGTTCTCCTCTTTGCCGAATACGAGCGACCGTAGATGATCTGTGAGAGCCGCAATGTTGTGATAGTTGCGCTGATTAAAGTGGTCGATTTCTCTATCGATAACGGCCTTTGAGAGCTCTTCCTGTTCCAGCTCCTCTTCGATGTTGACCTGAAAGTTGTCCCACTTTTTCGCCACTCGAGGTGGCGTTCGCGTAATCATAGTTCCGAATTCTTTAGACAAACTATAAGTAGAAGGGTAACGTACAGACCACACAAGAAGCTTAAAATAAGCATTTTGAAACAGCATAGAAGAGAAAGAAGAGGAAGACCTAGAGTGTTATCGGAAATCAGTAACTTTATGAAGTGAAACAATATCAAAAGCACACGTTTTTGCATTGTTAAATAAATAATTTGAGGACAAATGTGCGCATGCAGGAGAAACACACAATTGAGTCTCTTTGTGCGCCAGGTGAAATGAAAAAGAAACTGCACGTTTCAGTCATCAAAATGAAAAATGGGCAAATATATGTTTTCCTCTAACTGATCAAAATAGATTGTATTAGAAGAGAATCCCTAGTGTGTTCAAGATTTATTTAACCGACAACAGATTTACCTGTGGGAGCACTTACGAACAGGCTGGCTTACAGACATGCGTTAATAATTAAACTGCTCTGCCATCTAACAATGCGATCCGAAACAAAAATGAAGCAATCGAATCGAGAGGGAAAAAAGGAGATCGTAACAGCAATAACAGTAGTAGAATTGAACAGACGCCTCCCAACAACTCTACTGCTAACGACGGCGTTTAATTCCAACAATGTCTTGGACCCTCGCTAGGAATGCCTCTTGATTCTTATCAAGAGACACATCAAACGCCGAAAAACCAGCTTCTAGAGATGCTGCCACAGCAGCTTCGACGGAAGCCGGATGAATTTGAATCTGTGCAGCACTAAGAGCCTTAATGCAGTTGGCAATTCGTGCGACATTTTGTCTCGCTTCTGACTCGCGCTCCTTTTCCTCCGCGGTGTCGTCCGCTGCTTTTTTCCACGAAATCCAAACATTTCCGTTCAGTCCAATAATCAAATCGGCGTGGAGGTCGGGAAGCTCCACGAACTGATGCTTCGCTCGCTTCACGAGCGACGGGCGGACGCTCACGAGTATTCCGAACCCACACAGACGACCGTATTTTTCAGCAGCACGGGTGTGTAAAGAAACAACGCCGTCCGGAGAGATTCGTTGCACTTCAGCAGCAACGAGATCTTCTTGGTCGAAAAGCTGTCGCATTCCCAACTCATCCCCTCGGCCGCGACGGCGAAGCATGCCGCCTGGCTCAGTTACGTTTGACAGGAGCATAATGGCAGTTTGTGTCGAGTTGACATCCACCAGCCATTTGTTGCCAGCAACTTCTAAAATGCGGCCCACTATGACGTCACCAACTTCAGGTTGATACCGTGGCAACAAGCCTTTGACAGAAACAACGCGATCGGTAACCTCGATGTGTCCGTTTATAGCAGCCACAATTTCTCCCGCGCCTTCATGGATAAGTGCTACATCACTGGGGTTATTCCCAGCGAAGGTGTTGAATCCTCGCAGATAAACTTCCTCAGCGCTTGTACTTAGCTTCTGATTGATCTCGCCGCCGCAAATAGAGTCACCGACAATCACTACACCAGAGGACATCTTTAATTATTCGCTCCTATCAGTTCAGATACAAAAGAATGGTCGGAAGCAGCTCACGGATTGAGCCTTTGAATACCGGAAACTGTGAAAATCACTTAACAAGCATCACCACAGCAACCGGGATGCAAGAAAAAAGAAGTAGAATGGAACGCGTGAGAGTTCAGGTGCGCAACACAGAAAAGTCAAGAGGATAGAAGAAAAGGAAGACTTTGAAGGACGAAGGTAAAAAAAAGGAAGCAGTGGGAAATGTCTGAATGTGGATTTGGGATGGGAACGTGGGCGTTGCAGACTTTCCTAAGCCAATGCCCGGGACCATAGAGATGGGAAGCAAAAAGCAACAGAAGAAGAAGGTGCGAAGAACACTATCAAACCTTGTGCGCAAATGTGTTCGTCTCTTTTTTACCTCGTGAATAGGAGTATTAAAAACGCAGATTAGCAAAAGAGCAGTTTCTCCGCAACAGGAGAGCAGATCACACTGACACTGTGCTGCAATTGCGTAACATTATTCCCTGCCCGGTGTGAGGCTCAGACGCACAGGGCATCGTTTCTGCTGCGAACGAACAAACAAAAAAAGCGACACCAGGGAATGCCACGAGAGCAAAACTGAAAGGCTGGGGGAGGGGGAGGTCCTGAGTGACACGGAGGCCGGCTGCACAGTCATTCTGTTTGCCAATTAAGTTTCTTGGGCGGACCGCGCGCGTCGCGCACCGTGTGGCCCTTCGCTCTGGCGGTGGTGGGGGAAGGGAGAGGGGGCGCGGCATCCGTACGTTCACGGTACCGCTGCTAAAACAGTTCATACATTAGAAGCCTTTACTTTCTCCTCTCAATAATTGCACTCCGTTGCTGCCACTCTACTTGGTCCATCGTTCATCATACAAAATGAGAGGCACTTGTGTGCCAGACTCGTGTGAAAAGTACATCCGTGGTTTGTCACTTCACTTCTCTTTTTTGTTATTACGTGTCGGCCATCTAAGCTACTCTCGATTCAACACTTTTCATGATAGAAGGTATCGCGGATCCAGTTGACAGCAGTTTTAACAAC